TTTTTTTTTTTCAAAGAAGAAAGAATCGAATTTACGTATTATATATAATCGGTTACGGTACATTCGAAGGAGAATTCTTGAAACGTTTGACAAACTCGGGGGAGGGGAAGAGTGTATGTGTATATATAATAATAATAATAACAATAATAATAATAATAATAATAATAATAGTAATAATAATAATAATAATAATAATAATTAATAATAATAACCGTTAAAAATGGGGGGAGGGGGAAGTGGGATATATATTTTATACAAATCGAAATACGGAAATTCACACAAAATGATGGGGATCAGAAAAACATATGCGAATACGTATAGTTTCAATATATATATATATACGTACGTAAAACTACGCATTCCAAATACTCGTAATATGGGTATACAGATATATATATATGCTTGTTTATAATAATAATAATAATAAAAAAAAAAAAAAAAAAAAAAAAAAAAAAAAAGGAACGAATAATCTTTCTAGTAGAACAAACAAGGCGTACATGGGATACAAGCTGTATAAATGTGCATTAATGAAAATGTCGCAATATAACGGGGATATATATATGTATAATCTGCGATATCCTATAATAGGACAGATTCGACAATCGCCTCTTTCCACCGATCTCTTCTTCCTTCTTCCTATTCGTATATACCGCAACTGTTAAAAAATTACATGTAATGTGTACATGTATTTTTCGTATTTTTCTGTTCTAGTTCTGTCAAACGAGGCAATTAAGAGATATACGCGGCGTTAATTTTATATATATATATATATATATATATAACTTTGCGAGAAAAATGAAATTCTTCTTCGAAGTAGCCACAAAAGAGAGAAAGGAAAAGCTTTCAACGAGCTTCAAAAATTGAGCTTGAAATTTCTCGTTTAAAACAGAAAACGTAGGCACCCTCTTTCAGTACAACCCTATTTGAATTCGGTGAAAATGCGAGATAAATAACGACGAGTCTGCACTCTTGTTCCTATTCTATTACTCGAAATTGCTTCTTTTATACGTATGTGTACATATATATATATATATATATATATATATACACATATATATATCGATGAAACTGATTGACTGACTATTATATTAGACTCTACATTTTCCAACAGATCGGGGAAAAAATTCAGAAATTTTTATTCCACATAACCTTTTTTTTTTTTTCTATCTACTTGTACTTTTTATCCATCGTTCAGAAATTTAATTTATCTCTTTACCGAAGTTCATCATTCTCGTTCCGCGTCGTGATACATTTTAATAACCGTTTTCGTATCGCGTATTTTAAAAATTGCGGAGTGCAACACGATTCACGATTCATTCAAATCATATTGAATACCAGAAACCAGATTTGCACGAGTGGATCTTTGCATTTTGTATATCGTTGTTAAATCTTGTCATATATTAATGATTTATGAGGGGGAAAGAGAGGGGGGAGGGGAGGGGAACGATCAAAATGATCGATCGAACGTTTATATATATATATATATATGCACGTATTATACTTTAAAACAGAAACGAAAATTTTCGAATGTATCGTTCGAAAATTCCTAGAAAAAAAAAAAAAAAATAAAATAAATCGAATTGTCACGTGAAACGAGATAGATGATACATGCTCCACGGGAATGAACGAAAGGGTTCTACTACTTTCTTCATGTGCAGCAGTTAATAAATAAAAAAAAAACTAGATAACATTAGTCCTATATATATATACACACATACATATATATATATATATATATATAGTTAACGTTTGCATATATTAGTCATGCACAAATACAAATGTTATTCTAACCAAATACAAAAGAGAAAGCTTGGGGATCTAATAATATCGCAATTGGCTTTGTTCTTGCAAGCTGCTTTTTTTTTTTTTTACGTGCGCGTCTCATCCTCAGATTTATGTGAGTCGAATATAATAAATAAATTTTTGTTTTCTTTTCAATTTTTCAGATTGAATTACGCGCACGAGCTAAGTTTATTTTCCTTTTTTTTTGCATCCGTTATTCGCGCGAATCGAATAAGTGAAGAGAATCGAGAAGGTGGAACACAATCGCAATGAAATACGCGCGAGAAATAAAGAGCGAAGGTAGGAAGAGTAAAAAGAGTAAAAACGCGATTGGATTCGTATTTTTTCACGAAACGAAACGAGCAGAATGTAAGTAACAATAAGTTTCACATAAACCTTTGATTCCAACGGTGTTATATTTTGGCCAAAGCTTAATTCGTTTACGTATATATACGTGTATATATACGTATAATATACGTACACGTATATATTTCGATATCAATAGTTATATTACCTCTAAAAAGTTTATTTTACACGAATCTACGAGCATCCTAGGCCTTCTTTTAAAATCGAAAAAAAGAAAAAAGGTAGAAGCATAGTCGAAACGTAGCACAACTTTTTTTTTTTTTTTTTTTTCTATTAAAATTGGTTAATCTAATTTTTCTTTTTTTTTTTTGTAGAACACAAGTACACGCTTATACACGATGAACGAGGCATCGCAGAGGGATCCGTTTCTTTCTTTCTTTCTTTCTTTCTTTTCGATCGAAGAAGTCAGTTGGCAGTGAAACGCAACGACGTTACGATTGAAAGAAAATGTTGTTAGTAGTAAAACGAGGAATCAAATTCAATCACTCGAATTCCACATTAGAAAAACACGCACGTACTCTCCATTCTCGTGTTAATAAAAACGTTCAACTCTACACGTGATCACATATCTAAATGCGCACACGCACGCACACACACGCATGGGCACAACACAAACTCTCTTCACTACTCTCTAATTATAAACACTTACTGAATCTTCTTATTAGATTGTAGGTGAAAGATTCGGGGGCCGTGTTCGTTTCCTCGCATCTTAGGTCACAAATCATGGCCGGATCATTTTTCGCAAATTTTAAATTCGGCACCGACAACAAACGACCCTCCCTTTTCGCCTGCCTCATCTTCACGATCTTCTTCAATATAGGCGGCCTCGACTCTTGGCTCTCGGCCAACGTCAAATTAACAGGCCTGGCCACACCTCCGTCCGACCTCTCCGCGGGGGGAGCCTCTTTCTCCCCCCGCCCGATCCATCTGTTCCTATCTGCCTGTGCGGCGTCGATCGCCACCACCGCCCTCTTCCTCGCTTCCTCCTCCCGATTCTTCCTCTTCCCCGTATCCTCGCCCGTCGGGCTTTCCCCACGCTCCGATAACGAGTCCTCAGGCGACAATGATGATTCCGACACGATACTCTCAACTGGAGACAACGAACTCGCGTTTTCGTTCACGTTACAGTAAAAAACGCAAGATTTCTGACTGCTAGTATCACTGCCTACCTGTTAACAATGGGGTACTTGTATATACTTTTTTTATCCTGTATTAGTAGCCCGTCTATCCGCAATTTTCTTCGCACCAAGAAGGAACGTTATTAATTATTTTTCGATCTTTCTATGTATTCGTTTCCATTTAATTCGAGCAAAAGAGAAAGTGGTAAAAAAGGAAAGCAAGTATGATGAAAAGCAAGTATAATTTTAATAAGATACGGGCATGTATTCGAAGTATATAAATTTGACGTGTGAATAAAAAGAAACAAACGGATGGATTATTCTTATATCTTAGTTCTAGTATCTCTAAATAGAGAATAGATTAAAAAAAGAAGGGAAGAGTATGGAAGAATATGAAAAAGCATACAAGTACCCCATTCTGAGACGTGAGCAAAGCCGGCGAGAAAGTACTTTTTATTTTCAGATCAACCTTGCTGAGCTGCCTCTTCAGATTGAATCCTTTCCAACCGTGATGATTCTTAGCGCACTCTTCCTCGTTAACCGCAGATTTATTGATCTCAATCACAGATTCCTCCGCGGTTTCTCCCTTATCGTTATTGCTCCCAGTTTGATATTCGTGGCCGCGAGGCGGCGGACATTTCTGAGAATGTTGACCGTCCCTGTCGGCCACCATCCCTAATAATCCTTCAGATTCCGCGCCAGTGTCCCCACGAGTCTGACGGATCATTAACATGTTGGATTTTGCACAGTGAAATTAATTTTTCGTGTATTAAATGAGAAACGTCAAAATTTTCTTTAACTCTAATTCTAAAAGCATCTTATATATGTATATATATATGTATATATGTATATATATATATATATGTATATGTATATACATATATACGTTGCATGCGCGTGTGAACGCGCAATACCGTTGCAATATATCGTTTGCGTAACGCTTCTTATCGCTATACACCGCACCGTATCTCGTCAAATTTTGTCAAGCAAAATATATATATATATATATGTAATATAATTTGATACGCTACTACTCGTATATTTATCTATATGAATTTCATTGTGAATATATTAAAAAAAAAAAAAAGAAAAGAAAAAATAACGTTCAAGCTTTTTAATCATCAAACTAAGAAAATATCGCAAACGCATGGTCAGTCACTTGTCACTTCCCAAATGGACGCAGTTATCGAGAAATGTTGAGAATGAAGAGTGCAGACAAGGGAAGGTATATTCGATTGCATTTCGATGCGATGAATAAAACCTAAGATGCTCATAGAAACCAATATATCGATATCGATCAAATGTACTTTTGCAAAATGTTATCTCGTTTAATCGTGGTTTTTCCAGAAATTCGATCATTTTCAACGGGACGTCCAATTCATTTTTTAATATTAAATTTTTAATATCGAATTCTCTATCTATAATTTATTCTTAACAACGCGCTTGCTCGATAACAACGGGTTTATATTTCGTAATAATAACCATTTTGGCAAGAGCCAAAAAACAATCGAACCTATTTTCGAGAAATGGAAGATATCACGTTTTAAATAAATAACTTCGCTTCTGAATAAGCATGCAACGTATATATACCATAGAGGGTGTCTACAATTTTTCTCTTCAATTCATAATTTATAACCTTAAAATATGCTTACCAAATATTATTCAAATCGAGTCGATAGAAATGAATACATACGGCGATATTATTGTATATATATGTATATATTTAAATTAATTTAATTTCTCGTAATTAAATACGCGATACTAAAAAATTTCAATTACTCGATAACCGTAAAACTCTAAGATGGAAATCATGCAAGATTTCAATGTATCTAACGAGACACGTGTATATAGGTTATGTTATTAAAGTTGCGATATCTCGTGAATATGTCGGTAAAAAAGATACGAAAGATGCGAAGCTTTTCACGTACGAACTTTTATGCGAAGAAGAAAAGGGTTCTTCTTATAGCGAGGAAATCTTCGTTATCTCTATCTTTCATAGTCTTTGAATTATTAACCAACTTTAATGGTATACTTTTTGTTCATATTCGTGTACACTTTGTGTGCACGTGGATATTTCTTTGCCAAGTGTGCAAAGGATGAAATATTTGAATGAAGAAATCTTGCACGTATAATTTATCGATGAAATGAATTATAGCAGATTAATTTTTTTGCCAATAAAGCTTTTTACTAAATATACACGTATCGTTTAAAATAGCAAATATAGTTAAATCTTCGAACCTATCATCCGATATGCATGAGTATTTATCAAATATGGCTGCAGTATATATATATATTATATACTATAGTATACTTGTTACAAGCAAATTAAAAACATTCCAAAGAATTCTTAATTGATTAAGTAAAATAAAAAGAAAAAAGAATATATACCTTTTAAGAATTCTATAGAACGCTTCGATTTTTACTTTTTACTTTTTACTTTTTACTGATTACGATATGTATATTTTTATTTTATTACTTCAAATCACCTGCTATAATCGTCATTACTTGATTAATGCTGTCATTTACGGTGGTGATATATGCTTGTAGCTGAAACATTTCGTAACTTCTCGTTATAAATTTTTATAATATCGTTTTATTACCTAATATATAAACTTTTATTTTATAAAATCATATATCATCTAGAAGAAATAATCACTTACTGATACATTGATTTTTTTTAACAAGTATCTTACCGTATTTTCCAAATTTTTAACACGATACAAAGCTGTCAGATGTTACTTTCTTTACAATTTACAATAATGATATGCATGTGATGATATTTTGATGTATCTCATCGATGTAATACTCGACTGAAATGTTTGCGATCACTTTGCTACTTGTTGTCATGTACAACGTAAAAACAAGTAAATCACTTGAAAATTTATATATATATATATACTCTATTGTGAATTATGCAATTGATTCAAACTACTAAAATATAAATAAAATACACAGATTACAGATCGATTACATACTTTATTACGTTCTCTATTAATCATTATAAGAAGAAAGATTTATAATTAACTGTAAAAATGTTAACTGTGATTTTGTAAATGATTTTGTAACCATTGAAATACGATTTAAGTTTAATGTTGCAATGTACAAAGATAAAGTAACATTTTATACATTTATATAAACGATAAAAATATTCTCTCTAATAAATTATAATTGATATTTGTTTAAATATCGAATTAAATGCCTATTTTCAAATGATTAATAGAATACTTTTTTATGCAAAAAAATTTAAATATATATATAACGACATAAATAACTTTTTTAAAAAATCCATACGATCCAAAAAAAAAAAAAAAAAAAAAGAAAAAAGAAATGAAAACGAAAATATAAGGAATATATCAATATATACATATACGTAATAATACGAATAAATTTTACACGCAGCTTCGAATTAATATTATAATTATTTATATATCTCTAAAACGCTTTTTCTATCTTTAATTTTTCGTGATAAATAAATCTTGCAACAGAACACATATGTGAACAAGCACGATTATAACGTAAATAAAAAAAAAAAAAAAAAATTGTCAACATGTGTGCAACGATATGTATTTGCAAACGTGCAAATATATAAAAGATAAAATACTTGAAATTGAAAAATATACGGTTCGATCCGAATCGAAACATCGAGCGAGAAACTTTTTTTCGTTCTTTTTCGTTCTTCGTTTTTCGTTTGATTTTCGGGACAAATATTTAAAAAAAAAAAAAAAAGAAAGGAACGATTTTACATTTGCATANTTTTTTTTTTTTTTTCTCTCTCAACGATACGTATCTGAAACGTTGTGATACACTATATACGTTTAATTCGATCATATTGTATAGATCTGTATCGTTGTGAATCGACTGTTATGTGTGTACATGCACACCAAACGTTCGTGTGAATTAAATCGACCAAACGTGTAAATTTTTTACATGGGGAATATCATTAAAAGCGGTACACAATATGATTAATGACAGTTGTTGGAAACTAATTTATCATCGTGTTACTTGTTCTGCTTCTCTGTTACTACGTATTTAACATCGATCGAACTTCTAAATACGATTGAAAGCTAACGATAAAACATTATCTACCACTTAACTACCTACTTCTGTCGAACTTCCGTTCATTTCTCGAAATAAAATAATAACAATATGGTCGCATATCATCCATATCAAACGAAAATAAAATTTTCTAGCTGTTTCTTTAAACGAAAAAAATAGTATTGTACTCTTACTTGTTTCAACGTGGGTAGACACATAGTTAGCTAAACATTAAATGCAATAATAAGCATGAATATGATGAAGAGATTCGTCGTTTCTTTATCAAGAAATAAAAAGTGTGTATATATATATGTGTGTGTGTGTGTGTGTGTGTGTATACGAAATGTGTGACTTTGTTAAAAATATGCAACGCGTTGGAAAATAAAATAAAAATTTACCTAATAAATCGTTTGGTTGGAATGATCGATCTCGGATGCATGATGTGAATAATAATAATAATAATAATAATAATAATAATAATAATAATAATAATAATAATAATAATCTTGAATTGAAAAAATGATTTATATAAATGTAAGTCACGACTAAACTTCAATTCTCTCGGCACATGGAAAATGACAAGTTTGACCACTAGTTGCCGATAATATTCTCGTTTGCTACTTAAAATTCAACAATTCGTATAATTTCGTATATTCGAAAAAATTTTTCTGCTAAATTTTAATATCTCTAAGATTCCAAGCAGAAAATATATATATATATATATATTGTTTAACACGATTCGAATTATAATTTCGACAAGATTATTTTTTAATTGTTGTTGAATTGTTTTACAACGAATTGTTCGATATTACCTCTAGCAAAATAAGCGTTCTCTTTCTTCTTGTATAATTACTTATTGAAAAATATATTGTAATAAAAAAAATAAAACAAATTACGATATCTTTTGACTCGCGCATCGTCTATTTATGACTATCGAATAGTTTACGAAATATAAAAGATAAATTTCATGTTTAATAATACATTTAATATTAATATAAACCAATAAAATGTGTAATGTTAATTTGATAAAATTTATTATTGAGAAAAGGATTCTAATACTTTTTCAGAAAAAAAAAATTATAAATAATAAATGTTTAAATCTTGTTTTTTTAAACATCTAACAAAAATTGTTCGTTTCTGCTTGGAATTTACGAAAATAATATAATAATTATATACTTACTTAACTATTAGAATTTCTATTTAGAAACGATAGGTTAGTTAGAAGCATCTTATGAATTAAAATAACGCATGACAATTATGAGATATAAGAAAAAAAAAAAAAAAAAAAAAAGCGACGAAACGAAAATTTTAAATTTAACCGTTTGATAATCGATATTTTTAAGTTTATATAAATGATGGATTTTACAATTATATGTTTTAAACGTTGATGTATATAGTAGGGATTTAATCATTTCCGATATCGTCTACGTTATTTTTATTCGATTGAATTAGTTAATTATTCGGCTTATAAATATATGTTAGGTGTTTGGTGTTATTGTTAATTATCATTTTTACCAAAAGTCGTTTTATTTATTATTCAATTCCATCTTATAAATTATGTAAAACGATATTATTATAAATAAATAGATTAACTTTTGATATTCGATAAATCAAAGAATATTATTCTTTTTTCATTTTTTGGTATTATATCGTCTTCATTTCAGAAATAGAAATCGGTCCTGAGAAACTCAATGAAAACACCATCGATTATCGAATTTTCAAACAACGTCAATTACAAAACTGTTCTTGGAAACGTTGTATCGTATTATCTAAAACTATTCGAGAAGTTCTACTTTCAACAGTACCTCGTATCAAAGCTGAAGTGTTGGTACGATAGAGTATTTTGAGAACTGAAGTTTTCAATATTTACAAAAGAAAGAAAATTTGTAATTAGAAAATTTATAAATGATAAATCGAACATTCAAATCATTAGTAATTTTCTTTACAATCATGCAAATAATAGAGATTGTTAATAATTTTTGGTATCTAGAGAAAAAGCGAAATGCATAATAATTATAAATATCAAATTTTCAAAATGTTTTCGCCGGATAAGGTTAGGGAGAATGTGAAAGGGGGAACGATTAAAATATTTAAAACAATTTTGTCTAAGAAAGAAGTACATTTTACCTGATCTGTACTAGGACTCCTCGCTTTGTCTTCGTTCTCTCGTTTCAATTCATCCTGACGTTTCGGACTGCGTAGCACTCGTTGACACAGATCCACATTACCACCGATGTCGCTAGTGTTCAACACGATCAAAGAGATCTTCTGGACAATGTCTATTATTACTATACCAGACTCGTTCCCGTAAGCCATTCTAAGTACAAAATAATAAACAGAATTTTTCTTTGAAAATACTTTTCAAATATCGATAAATATTATATGCGAATGATTATATTTTTAAATACTTACAAACCGTACGAAGAATTCAAACTGAGAGCCGTTATATTTTCAGCTTGCTCCCCGCTAATAGTAACTGTTAAGCAAACTAAGGTCGCTTGAAAACCGGCGGCTCTCTTCTGTAAACCAGTCTTAATTTTGAGCGATTGGTTCGATTCGTTATTTTTCGACTCGCTACTTCCCGAAGTATTACCAGCCGGGGAATCGTGATCGGATGAACTTTCCACTTCCTTAACCGGATCAGCTGTCAGTGATATCTCCAAAGTCTAAACAAATTATCATTGCAATTTATATATTATTAAAATCATTGTAATATTATTTGTAATATTAACATTATTATGCAACGTTTCATGCGATATTTGAATTATGAAAATTATTTATAATTATTATCATCATTGTAATATTATTTGTAACATTATTATGCAACGTTTTATGCGATATTTAAATTATGAAAAATATTTATAATTATTATCATCATTGTAATATTATTTGTAATATTAACATTATTATGCAACGTTTTATGCGATATTTGAATTAATGAAAAATATAGGAAAGAACAAGTATTATGTTGGACTGGAATTTAATATAATATAATTATCTTTTTAATGGCTAGGATTAGGATAGATGCATGTAAAAAAGTTAATTACTTACCACTACCTCGGACATACTCTCAACTTTTTTGAATTTAAATAAGACAACGTGTCTTCCACTTCCCGCAATAGCTAATTTCCGACTTTCGGGACAAAGGAAGATGAGCTGTATCGCTAAAGGATCTTCCTCCGAGTCTAAACTACGCGTTCTACCTTTTTCAAAAAGTTTCGCTGTCTTTAATTTATAAAGAACTTGCAATGTGCCTGCTGACGCATCCCAAAATTTTATACTGCCATCAGCGTGTCTGAAAAAAAAAAATATGTTTATTATTATTATTATTGCGTCTTCTATCAGAATTAAAATCTGAAGATTTTAATTACTCTTCTCGTATCGAGAAGGGAAATAAATCAAGATAAATCTGATTCTTCTCTCAAATTCCGTTTTCTCAAAACTTGCACTCACCCAGTCAAAATAATTTCATTGTAACCACTGGAGCTTGAGCTCCATTCGCCACCAGATATTGGCCAATCCTTCTCGCTGAACCCCGTCTTTTTCTGAGACTTCGACCCAACTGAATAAAATGCTGGCACCAAATCTGATGGACAGTCCGCGAAATACGCGCAACACGTGACGGGTGATTCGTGTATGTCCATTGGATATGGATTTTCGAAACACGGAAATCCGGGAGTCAATAAATCTATCACAACCAAGTCGTTTTGTAACAGAACCACAACGGCGTATGGATCTTGATAATCTGTAGAAACAGAAGGGATTAATATTATTATAAGGATATTTATTCTTCCTAGGATTTCCTTCTAAGGATTTTTCCTTATAATAATATTATAAGGGATTAATATTATAATTCGTGAATTCAAGAAAAATGAGAATTACAAATAGAATGGAATCTTATTGTCAATTATATCTTATTATCTTATCAAAAATTATTACACGTTACTTTTATATACAATTATACAAAATTTTATATAGAAACGAAATAGTGAATCTAATAGAAAGAACATTTGCAAATGGAAAATCATCTTAAATTTTTTAAAGAATAATTGATTTAAAGAAGAAATTGATTTATATATTTATATTAATATACCACTGGTCCATGGATTTTCGCAGAGTGTTATAAAGTCTATCACATTGTGCTCCATTTCTAGTACAGTGGTAGTTTTCCCATGTATCACCGTTATACTTGGAGTTCGTCCAGTTGTGTCGTACGCTAAACCACCGGAAAATATAACGTACGCTTCCCTAAATTAATCAGAACAGATTAGATTTCTTACATTTTTAATCGCGCGAAATATATATGGAAAATATTTGTTCAAAAAGAAAAATGGAAGAAATAACAACTATATATCTTACTTACCCTGATCTTGAGAGCTTCCATTCAACCTTTTGTATAGGTTTACAAGGTTCTGGCTCGCCATCTTTCGTAGTTTTCGCTGTAATAAAATGTAAAATGCATAACAATTTAAATAAAATAAAACTACGTATAAAAACTTTTATCTACTTCTTTTTGTTATATCAGTTATATATCAACACGTTTATCATTACATAGTTCGAAACATCCTTCGAATCGAAATAATGTTCTGCATGGATGGGATAGTTTATGATGTAAATAAAGATATATATTTTACATGTAAAAAAAAAAAAAAAAAAAAAAAAATAAAAGGAGAAAATTTCTTACCGTGTGGATGCGTTACATTCGTTGGCTTTAATTGACGCACCGTCCACGTCGACAGGGAGCCATCGGTATGGCTACACATAAATTGTTTACCCTCGTGGTGCCAAGATATCGATCTTAAGGGTACGTCGCTTTGGCATCTATAATCTGCATTTTTCGTCTTCAAGTCCCAAAAAACTATTTGTCCCGTCTCATATCCTATCAGCATCTGAAATCAAAGATTAAACGGATGATAAAAAAAAAAGGTATCTTGGACAAGATAATATAATTTATCTTGCGAATACCTATTCTAACAAAAAATGTTACATATATATATTAATTTTAATAATAAAATCTCATTTTCATAATACATTGATATAATTTATAATACAAATTACGTACACACAACAAGAACAAATATGAAAATATGTAGTGCGGAATGAGTCACAAAATTTTAATATTATTTTAAATGGAACAATTGATGACCTCTTTGAAATTGTATTGCGTTGAATTGTATTTAATTATGAATTGTAATATGAGTAATATATATATATATATATAAATGGACGGCACAATGGGATATCTTCGAAAAAATAATTTAATGCCGTTCTTATATTTCCTACTCATATATTTCACGATTTGTTAAAATTAATATTCTATTTTCATGAGTGAAATTTAAATTAAACGAAATCACATACAAGAATTTATTTTATTCGAAAATATTAATATTAATAATCGAGAGAAATGACGATATATTGTTATTATTTTTACGCACGAATTCAATCTACGTACGCATAAGTGCATATCTGTAAACGTATGCATGTGAATGAATAATACGTGTATATTATATCTCTTTCTTTTCTTCTCTAGATATCAGATGTCTAGATACAATTATGAAGTACACGTTGTCTATTCTGTTCCAGGATTCATTCAAGATATAGAAAAAAAAATCATGCCATTGAGGTCACTTTTTGTTTTATCCCGATATCCCAATCGGTCACCGAGATAAAGATAAAGACTCGAAGTGTCCGCAATGCTTAAGACGGTGTAAAGATTATGAATGGGCCCGCTGAATCCACTGACCTATATTTTTCTATCTGGGAACGAGTACTACAGTTTTTCGCATCTGTCATTTGTCCGCAGTTAGAATAGATTCGAGCGAAAGCGACCGAGTAAGCGACGAGGACGAAGATAGTAAACGATTAAAAATTACTCTTTTCTTCACGCTAAAATATCTCGGCAACCGAAAATCGTATCGAGATAAATGAAAAAGCGTTTTAAAGGACAAAGTTCCGCGATTCTAACGATCCTTCATCCATTGACCGGGAATCTCTGTGTTTAAAGTTATAGCGATTCAAATTTCTCCTAATTTTAATAACCTAGTTTTAATCGGGTTTAAGGTAAATGATTAAAAATTACCTTTTCTTTATGCGACGATATCTCGGGAACAGGAAGTCGTATCGAGATAAATGAAAAGGCGTTTTAAAGAGCAAAGTTTGGCGCTTCTAATGGTCTTTCATCCATTGATCGGGAAACACTATCTTCGGAATTATAGCGGTTAAAGTTTTTCTTAATTTTAATACGATTTCATCGAGTTTTAAAATAATTTGTACGGGTAGAATATATATACCATCTTATTATTAATGATGAGTTTATTTATTTTAAAAAAATTATCTTAATGCTTTGCTTGAAGTTGGATTTTTATTTAATCCATCTAATTCGAGTTTATCTGTGTTAATTAGTCGAAGAAATTTTATAAGTTTCGTAGTCTTCCTTTCTAGATTTATATGAATTAAACTGCCGTTCGTATGTTCATTCTGTTTCTTTCTCTATATTTGTTCATATATGGAAATTTATTGATACCTATTTTCGATATATTTTTAATTAAAAATAGTATTTTTAATCAAAAATAAAGCCGAAAATATAATGTTTTTTCTATTTTATTCTATTTTCGTTTTAAATTATTCCTTAAATTTTTAGATAACACATTTGTTGCTGAACATATAATTTAAAATACGCAAAACATATGCAATATGAAAAATGTGTTTGCATAAAAATCTTTACATAGATTGGAATGATCCCATGAAATGAGATACAGAAATTTTAATATTAAAAAATAAAAACCAGTCCAATTTACATAATATACATATGTATATAGATATATTAATTCTGATATCAATATAATTATATTAATGATGAGCTCGTGTAAAATGTATAAAAAGATGAGTGATCATGATTGCGAGATAAACTTTTATTAAGCTCTTTATATATTCTGTGACTAACGCAACACCATTATGCATTGTTAAAGCGATATAAATGTAATGGGATTTAAAAATGCAAACGAAAAGAAGATACGATGCATTTTAATTATAGAATTAATTGAAATAAATATTTATGTCCAAATAAAAAAAAAATAAAAAAAAAAAAAAAAAAGAAAAGAAAAAGAAAATTATAAATTCAATCGTAGAGAACGATTGATAAATATCGATGAATCGACGAATATATACGTTTAAATTTATATTTGCATTTTCGTTGCGAAATATTTTATAATATATAATTAAAATGCGAATAAGTTTAAATAAAAATTAAACAATTACCACAAAAAGAAAAATTTTAATTTTCGTCGCAATTTGATATATGGAATAAAAATATAAAAAATTATCCCATTACTTTTCCATCTGCATAACACACGTATTAGTAACAAATTAAACGATTCTATCGGAAAGAAATAATTTCGTTAAATCATTTTGTACGACAGTAATAGCATGCACGCATGCACACACACAACATGCAAGCACTTCACACTTCTTCAGTCTTGTTACAATCAACACCCTAAAGAAGGATTTATAAAAAATGTTAAAATGAACCTTGAGAATATATATATATATACCCTATATATATATATATATATATATACCCTAACATCATGATTTCATTTCATAATTCGACATAATATTAAAAAATGTAAGGTATGACGTCATGGTAAGGATGGAGAATAATGCAAAATAAAACGTACTCAAAAAACACGCGTACCTTGCTCAAATCTAAAGGATTATCACTCAAGTGTACTACAGCACCAGGATGGGTCTTTCTAGATCTGGAAAATATATATACATATATTATATACGTGTGCGTGTATGTGTAATTGTAAGTATGCGCTGTTGTATAAATGTATATGTATCGTGTTCGCATACGTAATTTATATGCCTACTTATAGGATTAATTTCTATATTCGAACATACGTGTATCATCATGTTTTACAAAAAAGTATTCAAATAATCATTTTTTACACACACAATTCAACCAATTATTGTGCACAATAATGTTCTTTTGCAAAAATACTTGATTTCATTTAAGCTTGGGTTGACTTTATACTTCTCTGTATACTTTGGTTCTTTCCAAATAAACGTATCTTGTTAGTATGCTTAATATATGCTTCGTACGAATTAGTACATACAATCATGTAATCATAATCTATTGCAACAACACGAAAAAAATAAAAAAAAAATAAAAATTAAAACAAGAAATTAAAATAGATGCACGAAATACAATGAAAGCTGTGCTTGTGCTTAATGCGTAACGTATACATAATAATACATGTTATCTGGTAAAATCCTGAAAATGAAGTTTTTAGAGAGAGAGAGAGAGAAAAAAAAAAGAATAGACAAATTAGAATATTCTATAATATATATCTATAACATTATATTATTGTGATATCAAGAAAGCTGTAATATCTATTCCATATTAAAGTAAAATCTCTAAAGTAAGGAAGAATGGATGAAACTTAAAAGAGTATTAAATAATAATTAATATAGGATACTTTAAATCATTTAGAATCAATACATCAGATTTTACATTTAAAATAATATTATTTTTATATTTATAATATTTAATTTTAGAATTTGACTTTTATGAATAACATTATTTCCCATCCTTCTTTGCTAATCAAGAACCCATTGAAAAATTTTTTACCAAGTATTCCATTAAAGATTCACATATATTATTCACATTGATCACTTTCTTGATGTTTCTCCCATTAAAAATTAAATTTTAATCTACTTATATTTTCATTCCCTCTTTAAACCCTTTTATTTTTAAATAAACTTTAACGATCGATAATGCATGTTTTAAAATTGATCCTATATACTAATATATTGTTCTACGGATTAATGTTCCCTCCATACATTCACACATTATACATATTCACACATTCTAATACGACGTACTTATGATTACAAATTAAATTCCTTAATTCTAATCTCACTCATCTTTTTGAAAACATATATATAATATTGAATTCTAAGATATTCTTTTTTTAATTTTCTTTTAAAATTATATGCACTTATCTTAATTTATTTATTAACGATATTTTAATCATAAAATTTAAAAATATTATTTCTGTATTATCACGGAAATAATTTAAAAAAACGTGAAAGAAATTTAAATACAATATATATACAATTAATTTCCTCGTATTAACTCGAAATTGCATAAAGAATATTTTTAATCTACGCACAAACACATTGCCTATTTTGTAATTATAAAATTTTATAATTTATCAAAAGTATAATAAACATAGTAACAATAATCTTCAAACAGAATTACAAATTGAAAATGTGTGTTGCTCGCGCTGTTTATTCTACGTATATGTACGTATAACGCAATTGTTATAATATAATTATAATATAATTAATATTACACATTTACATAGAAAGATATTTGCATACTCACACTTCGATAGCCTTGTTCCAATTAATTACATATCCAGAAAGGACAAATGTTTCGATATGGAGTACATGAATGTTCCCTCGTTCCGTACCAACGTACAGCCATTTACTTTGTAATGGTAGGTGAATGCACGTTATTCTGTTTGAAAATATACGGAATATATTACAACTCATTTACACGTGTAAAATTTTAATAAATAGATAATATATTTACAGTCGTACTCGATTCTTTTAAAAATCGTTTGTTGCATCGAGTTTATTTATATTTCTGTTTTTCTTTTCTTTTCTTTTTTTTTTTTTCTTTTTTATTCAATTATGAAAAAAGGGGAACAAATTAGTAAAATCGTTGATTGATTATTACGAATGCGATGAAAATTAATTGGGAAAAAGAAATCGTATATATATTTAAAAAAAAAAAACTGACCTTTCTCTTTGGAACTTTAGACTCTGCACAACCTGTGGTATTTTCTGGCGAAAATTCCATAGGTGTAACGTATCATCTGCAGTGGCGGAAACCAATGCTCCCTCATTGATTAAAAATTGTAATTGTATCACCGCTGTACATCCTTCGTGTTTCACGTGCGCATCTACACCTGGTCGGCCCAAACTGTTTTATTTTAATTAAGGAAATATATATATATATATACACACATTGAGCATTTATTTTATCGACGTAACAAACAACAGCAATGAACAGAGATTACATTTTAAATAAATCGTGCCTCGCTTTCTATCTCTACGGAGAGATGGAACACCTATATTTTATAATTTTACTTCTGGCTTGCAAGCATTGATTTTCTGCATTCTTCATAGATACAGGATCGATTCTTTACAGAGAGATTTTATCGAGCAATAAAGCGCATCGTTCGGATGAAAGTAGTTACTTTGTCGCAACTACCTGTCTCGATGGCAACTAGGAAGCTTATCGAGCTGTGATGAGCATTCACTACCTGATAACTCTTTAGTCGGAATAGACCAATAAAAGCACCCACGTGAAAGAGCACACGGTTGACGAACCATAAACCAACGGCACCATGTTAATTAATCCATTCAAATGATATTTCTTGAAAAATTATTTGAAATCTTTGAAGAAAGGTAATCGAAAAAATAATACGAATAAATTTTAAAACTTTTTTTTTTTTTTTTTTTTGAAAGAAAAGATTATCGTAATAAATCCTTCACGTATATATATCGAAGTACGTAGAATGAAGAATGCAAAATGCATACGTATTCTTTTATTTATTATAGACTTGCAAGGAGGATTTAGAAAAAAAATTTTTTCCAATTATTTGGAGATAAGTTAATCTTTCTCTTTTTTTATATTATTAATTTTCAATCATAAAGAGAGGCTGAAGAACGAAAAGAAAATGAAGATTTATCAGGAATGTTTGTGAAAGCAGTACTTATTTACCTGATCTCAAATTGAGCGTATTAATGTTAAAAAAAGGATACATTCTAAGAGATCCTGATTTAGTGCCAATAGCAAGAAGCCTTTGAATTGGATCGAATGCCACTGCTGTCGGTTGATGTGGAAAGCCATGTCTGAATGTCTGAAACATAAAAGCATTTGTTTCATTTCATGTTTCCTGCTTTAGTCAGCTGAAAGTCTATTCAACCCCACAAGGGCTGCAGAACAAACGATATAAGATAAAAGATAGCATTGTTCCTTTCAGCTTTCAATATAAGTATATTTGGCTTATATTATACAATTTCAATCAATGTTAATTTTATCCTTTTATTTCCTTTCTATATATCGTTTAAATAAAAATTACGAATGTCAAACTACTCTTTTTTTTTTTTTTTTCTTTTGCGGTATTGGAATATTCCAATAAAGTTTCTCTGAAAACACGATACTCGAAAACAATTTTTTAAATGATTTGTATATATTTTAGTTTGTCAAACTAAAATAAATTTTTATAAATTATTTTTTAAAATTTCATTAGATGTCTGAAATTTAAGAGTTGATCTTTTAAATCAAATATAGTATTTAAAATTATCTTCTAATGAAATTTAATTCCACAAATAATACCTATAAATTGATTTATAATTTATTTTATATATTTAATTATTTTTTATTTATTTATTTTATTAATAAATTCATTCTTAATTAATTTTAATATAAAAAAAAAATACACTAAATATACATTAAAAAAATGAAATTGACAATGATAAATTTATTTGAAATATTTGACCCATCATTTAATCAATATTTATCTTTAAATTGAATATTTATTGGTACTTTTACCAATTTTTATTTTACCAAGAATTTTCTNTAAAAAAAAAATACACTAAATATACATTAAAAAAATGAAATTGACAATGATAAATTTATATGAAGTATTTGACCCATCATTTAATCAATATTTATCTTTAAATTGAATATTTATACTTTTACCAATTTTTATTTTACCAAGAATTTTCTGATTAATCCAATCTCGAATTTTATTCATTTTTAAATCTCTATTAAATTTTATATATAATGAATTTAAAATTATTTCTAAATATCAATCAAATATTATTATTTTTATTAGATTAATAATTTATATTATAATTGTAAATATATTTAGATTAATTCCATATATATTTACAAGAATATTTTCGAGATTTATATTTCGAGAATATTTTCGAAATTTCTTTCTTTCGACATACTATTTATTTAAGTAATAATGTAATTTCAATGTCTATTCATTATCTGACAATCAGTATATATATATATATATATATCAGTAAGGGGGCATTCGTTATTTTACTGCTGTCAATACTGTATGTCAAGAAGTTGGAGGTATTATGCACCGTATATCTCATTTTCTATTTTCCGGAACGATAAATATAACCGCATATCAAACATTTGCTCCGTATCGTTTGTTAAGTAGCAGTACATAATTAATATTCGTTTCCCTGTTTAACGTTTTCGGAGAATAGTAAGAATGTAAAAATGAATAAATAAAAATAATATCCCAAATATTTAATAAAATAAAGAAAAAAATGTATATTTTAGAAAATCGTTTAGAAGGTATTGATTTTTTGACAATTTTACTTTTAAAAAAGTACACGTAATTACAACTTTTTACAAGCACGATAGTTATTAAGATATTGCTAGATAACTATAATATATATATCACGATGATTAAGCGCGCGATAATGTTCTCAGTTGATGCTACGCGTCAAATTAATAGGAATCAATTGATTATTTAGATGACGTTAGATCATAAAAAGTGTGAATTAATCCCACGGGATTAATTGAATTAAAGTATTCGAATTTAAGATTAATAAGATAATATATCTTATCTTATATATTAAAAGAATTAATATTAAATTAATAAGTTAATAGAAAATTTAGATTTCTATAATATATTTTCAAGATATATACTTGTTCAAGTTCATTAACTTTAAAATTTTAAATATTTATTTATAAGATTTTCAAATTAAATTATCTCATATTTTTCTTGAATAAAATATTAAGAAGAAATATATAAAATAGGTTGTTGTAAAAATTATATTAATATTTGTAAATGGATATTCAATTAATTGTTTTCCTAATCATGTTAATATAATAAAATTATTAAAAAAAAATCAATAATAAATTTTATTTAATAAATTAAATTTATTATTCATTAAGTTATTTTTATAAAGAATAGTAATATATAAAATTAAAATTGATTTATTACTAGACCAATTACTCCTCCTAATTTATTTGGAATTGCTCGTAAAATTGAATATGCAAATAAAAAATATCATTCAGGTTTAATATGAGTTGGAGTATTTATAGGATTTGCAATTTTAAAATTATCTGGATCACCTAAATAATATGGATATTGAAGATTAATTATTATAAAAATTAATAAAATTAAATAAAATCCTAATAAATCTTTAATTGAAAAGTATGGATGAAATGAGATTTTATAATTATTATAGTTTGATCCTAAAGGGTTAGAAGATCCGGTTAAATGAAGAGCAAATAAATGTAAAATAATTATAAATAAAATAATTAATGGAAGAATAAAATGTAAAGAAAAGAATCGATTTAGAGTTGCATTATTAATGGAAAATCCACCTCAAATTCATAATACAATTGTATTTCCAATATAAGATATATTATAATATATCTTAAGATTATAATATATCTCTCGTTGAACGAATTTAATCAATAATATCGAGTTGGAAAGTAAAGAAGAGCAATCTTGATCAATTTGTAATGTCTAAATGTTTAAAAATTGATCGGTAATAAATTTTGAATAATAAATTCATTCGGTTCGATTCTAAATCAATATTTAGAAATTTAACGGAAAGGAAAAACGGTGGAGGTGTGATTTACGGCGAATGTGAAAAAAAAAAATGGACAAAGCTTTGTTAAAAACTTGAGATAAGTTGGCTGTAATTAGGATGTGCAATGTTCTATTGTAGAGAATATTTAAGAAAGATTTTCTAGATGTATCTTTACTAGAACTGCGAGACAGATTCTTTACAAATGAATATTGCCTGTGGCAGTAATTTCTTTTGCCTTTAGAAAAACAAAGTCCAAAGCAAATCTGAGGTATAGAAATTTATAAATTTATACCACGTATCTTTTATAGATAATTTTATCTACTTTGACGAACGTTTATTTTTACATTATATAATATAAAAATATAATATATACATATATTCAAAAACGAATTCGAATAATTGCAATATTGTAAAAATCAACATCAAAAAAAAATATATTTTAGTACATTATTTTATATATTTTATATATATATTTAAAAACGAGTTCGAATAATTGCAACATTGTAAAAATCAACATCAAAAAAGAAATATATTTTGGTATATTATTTTATATATTTTATATATATATATATTTAAAAATGAATTCTAATAATTGGAACATTGTAAAAATCAACATCAAAAAAAAATATATTATATATATATATATATTTTCAAAAAAAGAATTCGAATAATTGCAATATTGTAAAAATCAACATCAAAAAAGAAATATATTTTAGTATATTATTTTATATATTTTATATATATATTTAAAAACGAGTTCGAATAATTGCAACATTGTAAAAATCAACATCAAAAAAAAATATATTTTGGTATATTATTTTATATATTTTATATATATATATGTATTTTCAAAAATGAATTCTAATAATTGGAACATTGTAAAAATCAACATCAAAAAAAAGTATATTATATATATATATATATTTTCAAAAAACGAATTCGAATAATTGCAACATTGTAAAAATTGTAAAAATCAACATGAAAAAAGAAATATATTTTGGTACATTTTTTTAATCGATGCTTTGTTTAGAATTATTCTAATTAATTTGATAAACGTCATCAAGTATCGCGTATCTTTTCATCTATCAAGTACGTGTATTTTACACGTGATTGTTCAATCAATGAACAAGTATAATACAATGTAATGTATAGTATAGTAGGGATAAAAATGTATCTATGGGAAAGAAGATAAAGAAAGAAGAAATTTGGGACAAAGTAGAGTTAGGATTAATTTGACGCCCTAAAAGATAGATATATGTTAAAATCGATTCTGATGCAGCACTACTGCCTTTCCACTGGTCATGAAAACTGCCCTCGTTCCATTTCACCAGAACGGAGAAGTAGGTTAAAATACAGCAATACGAAACTTATGAACACTACCCGCCTTACCCGATATGCCCGATTTTAACTTTCCGGAGGTGGTCCCTGGTCAATTTCCGACAGTTCCTTGTTACAGTGTTGCGGCCACGTAGACTGCCCAACTTTAAGCATCCAATACACTCGTATAAATTGATACACGGTATAAAAATGCCGAAGCGATTGTACGCGAGTGTACATCAGCGATTCAAGAGGAAGGATCGAACAAATCGAATCTCTCGATTTTTTTTTTTTTTTTNATTGATACACGGTATAAAAATGCCGAAGCGATTGTACGCGAGTGTACATCAGCGATTCAAGAGGAAGCATCGAACAAATAGAATCTCTCGATTTTTTTTTTTTTTTTTTTTATTAGTTAAAAAGCGATAGATAAATTCAGAAAATTGGACGAGTACAAATTTTATATATTTTGCCTGAGAATTAACGATATATTTCGAATTAATCGTTTTGAACGGTGAACAAATATGGCATGTCGTAAAAATGTTGGAAAATTAGCTTTATTGCAAAAATAACAACGTGATAATATATTTGCACGATTACTTAATTATTACTTTGCATGGAATGTCTATCGAATAATTTATGCAAAAATGCAAATTGATTTACTTTTGACCCTCTTATCTAACTGTAACAACATTCTTGTGTAACTTTAATATAATACGATCTGATAATTCATAAATATATTTATAATTTATATTTATTGTACGAATGAATCTCACGTACATCTGCATGTGACAACGATACGCATGATACGTATAATTATTCTATCAATTAAATTTTTTATTCATTAAGTATCATTATTATTAAGTATTATAATCAAGTGTTATTTTAAAGATAAACGTCAAATAAACATCGCGTTAAATTACGTTAATAATAGAAGATTTTGAGATTTCATTGACTAAGTACTTGTGTTACGTATACTCAAAAAGTATATGTAACAAGTTGCATACTTTACACGTTTCAGCCTGCAATGAATCATAAAAGTATTTTTAAGTATTTGTAATAAGCAAATTGTCGATTTCACGTTATAACTTTATTTTTTCTTATGAAAAACTCGTTGACATCGATTGTTTTATGGATAATAATTAAATCTGGTGTATTCATTAAGTATAATTATGTATAAATAGGTATAAATAGGTAGGTATAAATAAGTATAGGTGTGTAATATGTAACGATAAAATACGAAATACAAAAAACATATAGAACTTTAAATAGGGGGATTAATTAAATATTTGAAAACATTATCGTTATATTGATTAAACTTTTTTTTTTAAATATAAAAATTAATATTATTATTTAAGACTTAAAGTGTGCTAAGCAAAAAGAGTCACGCAATTGAAACTAGCTTAATAATCTGTAATCTAATCGAGAAAATGCAATATGTTATAGTGAATATAATTATATCGTACATTTTTACTTGCTTACAATTAACGTTTAACGATAAAACATTTTACATTCATTTGATTAGTAACATATTTAAATACCGAGATCAAGTTTTTTACAAGATGTTTATTTTTTTGATATCTTAATACTCTATTGGAATATACCTACATATAAAAAAAAAAGAATTTAATTAAAAATTCAATATTTATAATGTTGTCTATTAGAGAAGATTTTCCAGAAAAATAGATTTTTTTACAATATTAATTGTGTTTTCTATCATTTTTTAAAATGAAAATAAAATTTATAATTATATATTTTTTTCAATCTACTTCTATTCATAAATAATCCAGATTAATAATTTACAAAATTAATTAATGATTTGTAGAAATTATAACTAAAAAATTTTAAACGTCTTGAAATTTAAATATTTAAATATCTTGAAATTTAAATATGAAATTAATTTTATAAAGTTTTTTTAATAAATTCTTGAAATTGTAAAACGAAAAAATCAATTATATAACTTTTAAATAAATTCTAAATCATTTTTAACAAGCATTTAATAAATTTTATATTAAATTTCAATTTTAATCTACTTTGATTTTTTGTCAGTAAGTATTTTATATATATGTTATCAATAATACATATACAAATTAATTTTTTGACGATAAACTAGAAATATATTTAAAAAATAATTAAAATTTGAATGTTAAAATCCTGTTAAGTAAACATTTTTCATGGTATCAGCAGTTAACATTTGCTTTCTGCAAGATCATATTGCTGAAACAACATATTAATATAATTATGCAAAACGCACATTTTTACATTTTAAAAATTAATTATATATTTATACTAAAGTATAAAAAAAGATAAGAAAATCAGAAATTTAATGTTCTACGTATAATCTTTTAAATATAAAAAATTTTTCATCAAACAATTAAAATTTTTTAGGAGTTTTTTATAATATTAAAGGCTCTTTTATACATCTTTATTATAAAAGAAAAAAAAAAGATATTCCTCCATGTCTATTAAAAATCGAGAAATCTGTTCAATAATTTCCGTTTAATATTATCGTAATTACGCTTCTAAACATCTATAATCACACGTATAATCAATATATACAATATATATTCATGAATAGTAAAGAATATTGAGAAATATTAACATTTTATTTTATATCGTGTGTATTACATTATAATAGATTATTATGTACCTTGAGTTGAAATTTCATTTTGCCAATAACAGTTTATATCAGTTTATATAGGTGACATAATTGTTTTTTAAAGGTGCATAAACCGATACGCATGACATAGAAGATAGAGAAATTCGTTTCGATATTGCTATCGACACAGCTGTGTCGAATCCCGGCCTGCACTCACTTCCATTAAAAGTAACCTCTTTTATGCGCGCAATGTTTGCAATGTTTGTTACATTAGTTTAAACATCGCTTTATACTTTGAATTAAATATGTGGAATAATAAAAAATATAATTAATCGTAAAATTCATACATCGAAAGATGCATTGATAAAAATGCTAGAAAAATAATAATTTCAATATCATAAAACAATAAATTATGTTTACATATTTATATATTAATATTTCCTTTACTTAAAATAGCCAACATTACAAAGTGATGAAAAAATTTATACTTTAATCATACTTTCCGCTTTATAGAACAAATTTATAAGATAAAAAAATATTATATATATTATATAAAAATTTATTAAATATAAATAAATATATTTTATTAAATATAAATAAATATATATATTAAATATAAATAAACAATACTTTATTTATTAAATAATAATATTTTTATTTTTATTTAATATAATAATATATATTCAATAATATTTTAATAATATCTTCATTTTTATATAATATTTTTATAATTATACTATCAAAAATATAAAAATTTTAAATCTTCTAAAAGTTTTACATTTCGAGTTTTTTCTTTCTAAAAATAACAAATTTATTTGAATATCCAATGAATTAAAATGTTAAAATACAACTATTTATCGATAATGTTATGCATAATTTTTATGAATTTTGAGTTTTATATTCCTAATTGTTGCTTCATATTTTATAAAAATTATATTTATAAATCATACTTTATAAAAAACTTTATATTAAAAACAATGTTTTTATTTATTATATGAATTTATTATATCCTGATCGTTTATATCTATACATATTAATATAATATAAATAATAAATAATATAAATAATAAATAAAAAATTAATAAAAAATTTCAAGAAATTAGATTAAATCTTTAAACTTGTTTTTCTAAAAAATATTAAAAATACAAATAAAATATTTATATAGTAAATAATTATTATATATAAAAAATAATTATGTACATTTTATATAAATTCTATTAATTTTTTTGTTTATGTTGTTAAAATAAAAAATGCTGTTAAAATAATGTTAATATGTTGTAAAGTTATTGCCAAAAAGTTCATTTATTCGAATTAATTTTCATCATTAGGTTTAAACAATTTTAAAATAATATTCATATTTTCCTATGTCACGTTGATACGCGATCCACAAATGTTAGCTTGATAATATATTATATACATATACTTAGGATAAACTATCGATATCAGATATGCATCATGCAAGTGCATGTTTCTTTCGTATAATATAATAATCTTCTTTTATTTAAAATGTTAAAGATATTAATTGATTAAAATGTTTAATACATATATTAAATGAAGAAATAAATGTTAAGTTTTGAAAAAATTAAAAATAATGATTAATTCTTTTATTTAAATTTATATAAATTTTTTTTTAGAACAATTAATATAATAGGAATTAAATAAATCGATTTAAAGATCGATTTAAAATTTTAAAACATATTCTTTAGTAAAGTAATTTGAGAACTTATATATTTTAAAAAAAAATTTCAATTAACATTCATAAGAAAGTATTTTTATACAGGTTCTTACATAGATTTTATTCTTTCGTTTATTTATTATATAATTTGAATCATTTTCTCATAATTTAATTTATATTTAATTTATATTTAATTTTCTCACAATTAATTTATATTTTCATGATATTTGTCATAATTATATTATTATTTTCATTATATATATATATATATATCTTCTATAACAAATAATCGCTATTTAATTTAACTATATTTAAATCAGAAATATACGTTAATTAATTAATCTTGCATATATATATATATATACTAATTCTCAACGTGTATACCCTATATTCAATATTATTTATCGAAAATGGATATATCAAAAAATATTTGAAAAAAATATTGCTTACCAACAAATAGATTTATTTAATCTATATCTATTTATTATCTATTTAAATTAATAATTATATTTATATTAACTTTAAAATAATAATTACAATTTTGAATACATTTAAGATATATTAAATATGTATAATTAAATCTTTTTATTTTTAATTTTTTTTATAATATCTTTTTTATAATTATTTTCAACTGCTTCTATATATGATTAATAGCAGCAGTATCATAGCATAAACTACTTCCACGATGATAATATAACATCGATAATTTTACTTTATTACCATATAATTATATATTAATAATTTACATGTAATAATATGTATCTAATTAATATATTAATTTCATAATTATATATAAATCATATAATCATAGTAAAATATGTAAAAGATAAACCTCAAAATAAATCGCAGAATACAATTAATATTTTTTAATTGGGTCATTCCAATTATAAACTAGAAATATAACTTTCAAAAGAAAATAACATTGTAGATTGAAAATACATAACATGCGCAAATTACTTTCATACATTTTAAAATTAAATAAGATAATTGAAAGTCTATTTATATATGTATAACTTAAAATTAATAATATATTATTGTCACTGACCTTTTTTACTTGAAAATGTTCCGGCCGTAAATTTTCGACGATTTCTTGATCAGGTTTGACGGGTTGCGGCACCGACGATCGGAAACCGTCAAGCACGCCTTTAATTGTAAACTTCTTCATTACGAATCGAAGATAACACCTAAAGGATCACATGTGCAGCAGCAATACAAATTCAATTCTTCTTAGAGTTCCAAGTCAAAATACGTAGTTTTTAAAAAATGCGTTTAAAAAAAATTACAAATTTCTTAATAATAAGAATTTTCAATATGTTCTATTTAAAAGTTTCTTTTTCCGCAAAAAACTACCGATGACATCTTCCCGTACAAATGGTACAAGTGTCACTCATCGATATTTCGAGTCTTACGAAACTTCTACATTTTGACAGAACAACGATGACGTCGAAGAGGCACTACAGCACATTTCGATATCATAGTACTTTGTGTAAATATAGACGCACACGTTACCGTAACAATTTATCGCCACGTTTTTACAAGTGCTGCGTGATCAGAATTGTTTTCGTAGTTGACAGCAATGCAGTGTTGTTTAATCGTGTCAGGATCAATAACTGGCAACAGGCTCATGTGGACTCTTACACGACCGCGAACCAACTCTGTGCGCAATCGTGAACGAAACTTTATGCCAAGTTTTTATGTCAAGTTCGTATCATCATTAAAATAATCTAGAAACAAAAATAGTTAATTTAAAAATATTGATCTATTTAAATTAACTATAGATTATAAATTATCTTAATTATAAATCTGAATTATAAATAATAAATTATATTTTAAATTATATTTAATTTATATTTATAAATTTCGTATCTAAATATTTAAATATAAATTAAGGTTTAGAATGAAATTCGCATTTTAGTATATTATACATACAATTCACTAAATAAATTTATCTAGTTTTTGATTTAATACATATTTTTTATATGATTTTATTATTTATATATACATATTTATTATTTATGTAATAATAAATATTAATAATAATATATAATAATAATAATAATAATAATAAATCTGAATATTACATTTCTATCAATGCTATAGTATTTTTTCTAGGGATTTTTGATCTATAAATGTACAATACATAGATTTTAGATACAAACCGTCAATCAAATTACTAAAAATTACTAGTTTTGATGCTTTGCGTTTTCTCGCAATTTTATAAAATATTTGTTTATCACGATACAAAAAAACTTCTGACTGAATTAAAACTTTTATTGAATTGAATTTTATTTACATGTTTAAAACCTATTGTGAAAAATACAATTTCTTTTTTTTTCTTAATTTATAATTATTTTCATTATTATATATAAATTTATTATTAACATATTATTATATACAAATTTTTATTTAAAATCATTAATAAAATAATTAATTTTTAGATTATTTATTTTTTAATAATGTATACATATAATTATATAAAACTAATTAAATATAAGAAATTACAAAACATTTAAAAAATTTACTTCATATGTAATACTTATTTATTTTACATTTTTAAAATTAAAGAAAATATTTAAAAAAAAAGTTTATTTTTTAATATTTGATTATAACAATTTTGTTATAATCGACTTTAGTTAATTTATAATATACATGATATACAAACATGTTATATATTTTAGTTATATATATACATATATTTATAGAAAATAAGAATATGTGAATATTCTAAATTTATAAATTTATCAAAAGAAAAAAAATTTAACATGCATTTAATTATCCATTTATTATAAAATATTTATTATCATATTGTAGTCATATGTTTTATTTTATTATATCAATCTCTAAATAAATTTTCCTTACTTCATTTTAATATGTTTAATTTTAAAAATTTAATATATTTATATATTTAATATTTTGAATATTTTCCTAAATGAAGAATATACATAAACATAGGAAGAATCAATGATAAGGTTGGTAGTATCCAAAACTATTTATTGTTATTATGATATATTCGGAATAGAATTTGTGAAAGGTAACCATTAATTTTTTATCATATCAATATTTTAAATGTATATATTTAAAACATATATTAAATAAATATATATTATACATATATATAAATTAAATTGTAAATGCTAAATATATTTATTAAAAAATTTGACATTTATAACAGATTTATTAACTAATTAAAAATATTGTATGATAAAAATATTATTTCAGGAAAATTTTCAAAAGGAATATATAAGTTAAAATTATCTCAAAAAAATGAGTCTAGGTAATGTAGCACCCAAATTTCGTGATACTTTTCATTTAGCAAATAAAAGTGTATTAAGATGGTTCCCTGGACATATGGGTAAAGGATTAAAACAAATGCAGAATCAGTTAAAAAATGTAGATTGTATCATTGAAGTTCATGATGCAAGAATTCCAATTTCTGGACATTATGCAGATTTTAATAATGTTTTAACTGGATTGAAACCTCATATTTTTATATTAAACAAAATAGATTTAAGTGATATGAGATTTAAGGATTCTATAATAGAAAGTTTAAATAAGAAGGGATTATATAATATATTATTTACTAATTTTAAAAATGTAAAATGTGAAGGTGTTAGAGAATTAATACCTTTAGCACAAAAATTAATTCAAAAATCAAATCGACATAATAGATCAGAAGAATCTTCATTTCAAATGATGATTATTGGTATTCCAAATGTAGGAAAATCATCATTAATCAATCGATTAAGAAATAATATCCTGCATAAAAGTAGTGCTGTACAAGTTGGTGGTATTGCTGGCATTACACGATCTGTATCAACAAGAGTTAAAATATCAGAAAATCCAAATATTTATGTTTTAGATACACCTGGAATTTTAATTCCTAAAATAAATGATATAAATACTGGTCTGAAGTTAGCATTAGCTAATTGTATGCAAGATCATTTAATAGGGCCAGAATTACTTGCAGATTTTTTGTTATTTTGGTTAAATAAACATAAACGATTTGAATATGTAGAAAAATTAGGATTAACAAAACCATCTGATAATATATCAGATGTTCTTATATATATTGCAGCAAAATTTAAAAAAACTTTAAAAATTAAGAATTATGATGGTAAAAAAATTATAAAGCCAGATTTAAAATTTGCAGCAGAATATCTTCTCTCTTTATTTAGAAAAGGAGAATTAGGTTATTATTGTTTAGATGAAGATTTGTTATCATTATTATCAACAAGATGAAATTCAATATAGAATATATAGGTATCATATATTATTAAATTTATTTATACATATTTTTTTTGTTTATATATAATTCAATAAATTGAGAAAATTTAAAAAACTGAATTGAAATATCTATAATTTTATGTAAATAATAATTAGTAAAAATAGTGTTAGAGATACTATATAATTATTTTAATGCATATTGAAATATTAAATTATAAATTATATCAAATGTATATGACAATATACATATTGCAATAATATATAGTAATTCAAAAAAAAAAATTTATTTTTAATATATAAATTATCTTCATATTATATTTATATTACATACATTTTTTTATATAATTGTATAATTTTTTCAAAGAAATTTTCAAAATTAATTGTAAATTAATCTAAATTATATTATCTTATTTAGATTTTCTAATTTTACGAATTTGTTATATCGTAACATTACGTACCATTATGTTAATGTACAGTCCCCTCTTCGTACATATAATTCTTACTTTCACTTAGGGAACTTTCTATAATGTTATAACAGTTTGTAAGTTTCAACAAGACATTGGTGAAAAAATATTTTTAATAGGATTATTTCATGAATGAAAATTATAATATAAATTAAATATAAAATTATAATATATATGTATATATTATATTAGAATTGATTTATTATTTCATTGAATATATTTTAAATTGTAATAATTATTTTTATTAATGAATTAAAATTATAACAGCAATGTTTGCAAGGATAACATTTTATCCAACACTAGTTTATAATATATTAATGGAAAAAATTTCATCGAGAAATTGGTACGATAGAATTGATGAAACTGTTATATTAGGTGCTTTACCATTTCGAAGTATGACAAAACAGGTATATAATTATAATATTATGAATAATATATTATTAATAATTAATTTTCAAACTTCAGAAATAGATAATAAATATTTTAAAAAAAATTTAAGAAATGTATACATATATAATTTAAATTTAAAAAATTACGTTCGGAAAAATAAGATCTATAAAATTTTAGTTAATAGCTGAAGAAAATGTTCGAGCTGTTGTTTCAATGAATGAAGATTATGAATTACGGTTGTTTTCCAATGAAAAGGTATATATATTGAAATTATTATGTAAATGAAATTTTTTAATAAATATATTAAAATAATGTCAAAATCAATAAACAATATTTAACTGCTTAATATTATACATTTTCTAGGAATGGAATAAAAATAACATAGAATTTTTACAGTTATCTGTAACAGATATTTTTGAATCACCTTCACAAGAAAAGTTATATCTTGGTGTAAATTTTATCAATAAATTTCGTGATGTTGCAAATACATTAAATAATTCTATTAATTTTGATAAAAATTATCCCAAAAGTGTTTATGTACATTGTAAAGCAGGGAGAACACGTAGTGCAACATTAGTTGGATGTTATTTAATGATGGTAAGATAATTGAAAATATATGAATTAAATTTTTTAAAAAATTTTATAATTCTTCAATAAAATATCAAACATTTTATATTATATTATAATGTATATCTAGAAGAATCAATGGACTCCAGAAGAAGCAATAGCATATATACAGCAAAAAAGACCACATATATTATTACATAAACAGCAATGGAATGCATTGACACTCTTTTATAATAACCATGTAAAAAAATAATGAATAATACAAATATATATATAATTATTAATATAAAAATATATATAGTAATATAGTAAAAAAAATTTTTATTATATAATGGCTATATAAAATTAATATTAATATAGATATATATATATATCATTTTATAAAACAGATTTCTAATTTTTTTTAATTAGTAATAAGAATAATTAATAAATACAATATTTCTAATTTTATAATATATTTTATTATTATATATTATTTAAATAATTTTTGAAATTATATATATTTATGCTTAAAATAAAAAATTGAAATTTTTACAATAAATATAAATTATTAAAATTTGACTGCAAAACTAAATTATAATTATTAATGATTTAAAATTTGCAAATTATAATGTACAATATTGAAATAATAATATTTATATTGTTACTATAATTTATATTCTTCTATTGTATTATGATAAAGTTTATGAATATGATCACTGATAATAAATAAGAAAAAAAAAATTTTATATAAATACATGTAAGTATATTTGAAATTTTTATTAAAAAATAGAAATGTAAATTCAATTAAATGTTCAAGCTAATTTTTCTCAGTTAAATTATAATTAATAATATCTATTTAATTATGAGTATATATATATATATATATATATATAAAATAATATTTAGATAAATGTATTTAAAAATTGCAAATATTAATATGCTATAATAATATAAATAATAATATTAATAAATTATTTTATCAAAATAAATAAATTATAATATTAAATATAATTATAATAAAAAAATTTTATTAAAAAATAAAATATATATTAAATATAAATATACATTACATTATATACATATAATTAGATTATTTTATTTTTACATTATTAATGTTAAAAAATTATTATTATAATTAAATTATAATAACAAAAAAATGTATTATTTCAAAAATAAAAAATTTTTGAAATAATAATGTTTTAAAAAGTAAAAAGAAAAAATAAACAAACCTGTTTATATAGATCATATTCAAATGTCTCAATCCATACTTTTTTATTCCTTTGAATAAATTCCTGTAATTAATAAATTATATGTAATGTTATGTTTATTATAAAATTGAAAATAATTAATATCTCAATATTATTTTTATTTTATTAAAAAAAAACCAATATCACAATACTTACTATTTTTTATTATATTGAGTAATTTTATTTAAATCATTTAATTTTGTTAAACATTCTTCTTTAATAAAATATGGTATTAGTATATCTGCACTTTTTAGTTCATTCTGCATCTCTTTACTAATTGTTTTAAATGTTTCACATGTAATTTTTCCATTTTTCAATTTATTTTCTAAATCCAAAATTTTATATTGCATATTTTTACCTGCCATTTTAGCAGTTTTTGCAAGTGATCCTACAATTGCTTTAAGAGTAAAATTTGATGCTCCTTTTGAGGAATAATTAAGAAAACAAAAATATTCTAGTTCTGCTGTTTTTAGTACGTGTGTACCACAACATGTTTCTCTAAAAAAATATTCAATTTTATTAAATAAAAAAAACATTAAAAAAAAAGACACTTTTATAATGTATAATTTTCTAATATTATTTCTTAAAAAATACTTACTTTGATTTCAAGTTCGGGAAATTAATTTCTATAACTCTAATGTCTCTATAAGGATAAATTTGTCCTGGTATTAATGTTACAGAATCTTCTGCTAATAATTGCATAGCATTTAATACTTTTGTAGTAACTGGAACATTAGCTGTTATAATAGTATTTACAAATTCTTCAATTTCTTTCAATTGTTTAAAAGAAAATTTTTCTCCAAATGAATTAAACTGACACTTTAAAGCATATGGGAAAACAGCAGAATAACGCAAATAAACTGCTTGCATTTTCTGTTGTATTATTGCGTGTAATAAATGTGTTGCAGTATGATGTTGCATTGTTTTTATACGAAATTTGGGTTCAATACAAACTAAACAACTATTTCCAATTTTTAATTTGTCAATGTCTTTTCTATGAATAGATGAATAAATTCTTTTAGATTTTTTATATTGTATTAATAAATATATAAATATATTAATATATATATAAATATATAAATATATTATAATATAATTATATTATAATAAATATAAATTAAAATTAAATTAAAATTAAAACTTACTTTAAATAAACATGTGAAAATTTTCCATAATGTATTACATATCCATTAATTTTCTTCACATTATTTATATTAAAAATCAAATTTTGTATATAAATAAAACCTTTATCTGATATTTGACCATCTTCTAATGAATAACAGACTGTTTTATCCAGTATAATTCCTATTTCATCTTTATTTGATTCTGTATTATAATTTGCAATGTTCTTATTAATTATTGAACATATATCATTATTTGTTTCGTTTGTTTTGTTTAATATTACATTATCTACAGCAAACAAATTGTATATTCTTCTATTATAATTAACAATATTAATAAATCAATGGATAATTTTTACCATTTATAATTACCATTTATAATTAATGCCAGAATTTTACTTTCAATTTTAGGAAACTCATAACTATTTCCATTAAGAACATATTTATATTTAAAACTGTCATCAGTTTTAGGTACATAACTTTTTTCAAGTATTTCTAATGATTTTTTAATATTTATTAAATTACTCTTTTCAAGACCAATTCTTGATCGATTCTTCAGATTCTCTAATTCTTTATAAAAAGCTACTTCATCAAAATATAAACATTCAATTTCTGCTAATTCTTTTATTGTTTCTTTATTTAATCCATATGTATCATACAGTTTGAAAGAAACACTTCCTGGTAATATTTTAGTTATTTTTCTATAAAATAAACAATATTAGACAACATATAATTTATAAAATTGTATTTAAAAAAATTGCTTTTTTAAATTTTCAAATAATTAAATTTATTTAATAATATCAAAATTATTCAAAAGATTTTCTTATCCCAGTTGAACCATTTTGCATATGAACTGTATATAATATTTATTTAGTAATTTTAATTAAAGATAGCTAATAAAAATTTAATTTATGTAACTACAATATTATTAATAAAAATTCATAAAATCAAAACTTTATAAAAAAAAATTTCCTTAACTATTCAATTATATTGAAACTTATATACCAAATATATTGAAACTTAAATAAAAATATAATAAAAACATGAGCCAAAAATCAAATTCTTTTGATCAATTAATACTTTGTTCCTGATATTCACATATTCATTTAAATTCATGTTTATTATAATTAATTATAATTTATTATAACTAAAGCCAAAAAGATAGATAATAATCATAATATTTAATAAAAAAAAATTCTAATAGTGTACAAAATTTAGAAGAAAAAATAATCTAGTTTAGTCTAGTTTAGTCTAATAATTTAATCTAAGTTTTGTGATTTAGTCTAATAATATAAAAAAATAATTTTTTTATTTGATATAAATTCTGCATATTTATAAATTATAAACATACATACAAATCATTATGTATGTTTTGAAGATATTTATATCCATCTTTAAGACCAGGAGATAACCATTCAGTAATTGAGTTCAATTGAGGATACGTTTTAATAAGTTGTATCCATTGTTTACCAGAAGTGTATTTTAATCTTCTATATAATTCTTCTTCATATTCTATTATTTTTTGTATCTAATTTCAATTATATCATATAATCAGATATATGCAAAAAATAAATTTTAAATTTATTAATATAATAATATAAATATCCATACTATATTTTGTTATATAATACCTTTTTTACATTGCTCTGCAATTCTGGATAAATATTACCTAAAGTTTCTACTACAATATAAGATAATTCAGAAAGTATTCTCTCTTTTTTAAATATTTCTTCACTTACATCAATTGATTTTCTTATTATTTTTCTAAGTTTATTGCTGAAATTACAATATATCATCATTATGTATATAAATAATATATTACTTATAACTACAAAATAATTTTACCTTTGTTCTGGTATTATTCCATCTGCTAATGATACAGTAATCATTCTGCTGTGATCTGCCAAAATTCTATATCCACTATCAAGAGTATTCACATTACAAAATGTGCCTTTATATTCTGGTGCTTTTGTATATTTTTGAATAGCTTTAAAAAATGGTTGGAAAATATCTGTATCATAATTGGATTGTTTCCCTTGTAATACTGCAACTAATCTTTCAAATCCCATGCCTGTATCAACATAATGTTTTGATAGAGGTATTATTGCACCACTTGGCAATCTAATATAAAATTAAAAAAAAAAAAGAAAATTCATATTTAAAATATTAAATATTTATTCTATACAAAATAATATATTAATATAAATATCCATATATTTATTTTAAAATATGAAAATAACAATTTTTTTAAATTAACATACCGTTCATATTGTATAAAAACTATATTCCACAATTCTGTGAGATCTCTGTATCCTTTATTAATTTGCATACATCGATTTTTCAACTGTTTTGTATGATCTACATGTATTTCAGTACATGGTCCACATGGTCCTGATATACCCATTTCCCAAAAATTCTCTTGTGATCCAAATGGTAAAATTTTGTCTTTTTTAACTCCAATATTTAACCAAATTTCTTTACATTCTAAATCAGGCTTTAACTCTAATTTTTCATCTCCATTAAAATATGTTACATACAAAAATTCCTCCTTAATACCATAATGTTTTGTTAATAAATTCCAAGCATAACGACAAGCTTCTTCCTATATAAAAATATAAATCTATATTTATTATAGTTTAAATTAAAAACTAAAAATAATAAAATATGTTAAAATATTTTTAAAAACATACTTTAAAATAACTTCCAAAAGACCAATTTCCTAACATTTCAAAAAATGTATGGTGATAACTATCATTTCCAACTATATTTAAATCATTATGTTTTCCACTAATTCTTATACATTTTTGGGAATTTGTAACTTTCGTTACAGGTGAATTATAATAATCTAAAAAAATCCCTTTAAACTAAAAAAAAATTAATAAAATCTATATAAATGAAATCGTGAAAATATATAGTTAAAATTTTTTATTCATAAGAATAATATAATTAATATATTACAGTAATATTAATTTTTCAGTGAATATTTATAAAAAATATTATTTTGTGATTATAAAACATACTTGATTCATGCCAGCATTAACAAATGCAACTGTATGATCATTAAATGAAATAACAGGACTTGATCGAATAAAAGTATGCTCCAAATCTTTTTTAAAATAATCCAAAAATTCATTTCTAATTAAATTTGCACTTTTTTGTATTGTAAATGAAGAATTATACACACGTGTCAACAAAATACAATTCATATTATTTTTTATGTCAAATTAATTAAAATTAATCTATTAATTTAAATAAATTTAATTTAATATTATTAAATATTTATTTAATGCAATTGTATAAAATATTTTTCAAAATTTTATTTTTTAAATTAATTATTTTATAAATATGAATTAATTTTAATTTTTCATTATTTTATTTAAAAAATTTATTTCAACTCATAACGTATAATTAATTACAAAAATTTTTTATAATTATTCTATAAAATAAATATTTGAAATTTTTGAAGAGAATAACTTATTTAAGTTAACTAAATTTTACAATATAATTTTATATTTTATAATTTTTAAATTTTATTTTTATTTAGTAGAATAATAAATTAGAAAAATTGTCTTATGAACACATATAAATTCTTTACATATTAATTTGTTTTAATAATTCAATTTTATTTTATTAGCGTAAATTTTATTTACGCTAGATATTAGATTACAAGATATATTTTTAAATATTATTAAATATTTACAATGTTTCCAAAAAGAATATTCATAAAAATCTGCCTAAATAATCTAGTGACTTTATCGTTAAATGAATTAAAGGTGGCAGTATGTAACACAAAACTTATTGCTTGCCGTCAAAAGTATTCAAGGTGGAAATCGTTGACGCCATTTCGTATCTCGTTTCGCTGATAGCGTCACGAAAGTTTTATCCCTTTTTACTTTAATTTAATTTCGCCAAAACGTCGCAGCCACATGTAAGTATTAATGTAATATTATAATAAAATATTTGATCATTAAAAGTATCTTTGAGGAATTTGCGACTTAATGGAGAGGAGATTCGCATATCGTCAGTTACTAGGGCACGCCAAGGGCCGGTTGTTTTTAGATATCTTTTTTTCTTCGTTGTAAGGTCGTATTTCAATTCTATGTTTTTAAAATTCAATCTGTAATACATTTATTTGTATTAATTTATTAGAATAATTATGATTGATTGAAAAAGTAGTTGACTATTTTTCTTTTTATCGATAAAATCTGATAACTTCTATGGCCTTGAACAATATATGTATAAGCGTCTTTTATACATTTACCGGAAAGGAATGCAACTTCTCAAATTTTATTTAATTTCTTTTTTTCAGCTATTTGAAGTTTACAAAATTTAGTAAATCAACTTTTTTCCTCATTTTATTAGAAAAAAATATAAAATTGTTTTATTTGTATTTTAAGATTTGTTCTCAGATAATAAAAAACTGTCTAATAAGGATCATGTAAGTTTTATGCATTTTTTTAATATTCTTGAAATGTAGTTTCTTCATTTCAGGAAATTTCAAGGAAATGTTAATGCTTACATGTAACTATTTCTTCAAAAGGTATTAATTTTTAAAGCATACCTATATATGGACTTATACATATTTACAATTTCTTTTTTTTATTTTCTATTTTCTATGATTAATATTCATATTAAGTTTAAATAAAAAATAAATATAAAAAAAAATATGCATATAATTTATGAAATGTATCTAAAAAATTAATTATAAATATAAAATATAAAATTTTAATATTACATTATATTTGTTTCATAAAAATTATTAATGAGATTTAGAATTTTTGTATAGACATATCTATTAAAAATATTACTATCATATTTCATTAATATTTCAATTTCGTATATATTTTGCATTTTTTATAAAGATTTATAATTATACATGATATATCATTATATTGATATTTAAAGTAATTCAAAATATTGTTTTTTTTTTATTATAAAGTATAAAAATAATATCATTAGAGTATCTCTATTCCTTAGACAAAAAGATATATGTAATAATATACTTGTAATTGTTTAATAATAATAGATTGCATATAAATATTATAAGAATATGAAAATTATTTATAAATTCACAATATATTATTATATATATATAATTTTTAATTTTCACAAATATAAATATATATATAATTTATAAAAAGGAAATATATTAAAAAATTAATTATTTTAAAAACAAATATAGAGTTTTTGTATGAAATGTGTTTTTGTATAAAAATGTATTAAATTATATTTTTTTCATAAAAAATATAATTAATGAGATTTAGAATTTTATAAACATATTTATTATAAAAAAAAATATTAGTATCATTTTAATATTTCAATTTTATATTTTGCTAAGTTCAATGTTGTTCAATATAAAATTTAAATAGATTTAGACAAAAAATATTCTTTTGCGGTATACAAAAATATTAAAAAATGAATTTTATTTTATCTATTTTTTTTCAAGTTTATTCATTTTTTCTTTCACTAGATTTTTAGAAAGAAATAAATATACATATACCATCTAATTTCTAGTCAAATTATTATATATATTATTATATATATATATATTGCATTTTAATAAGAATTTTGCTTGCTAAGTCATTATTATGCTATTTATTTCTTAGCAATATTTTTATAAATAGAATTATTAATTAATTCTTCTAAACTTTAATAAATAATAAGTTCATCTAATAAAAAATAAATGCAAATATCTTAGTTCTATTTATTTTACATCAATATAATATTCCTGTTATAAACTATTTTGCAAATTAATCAATTTCAGTCTTATCCTTGATTAGAATATAAATCACCTTTATATCATCTTTTTATAAATTTGAGTTCTTTATTACTTTATGGTAATAAGAATTATTAAATTTATTAGAATCATGCAAATTGAATTCTTTTATATAGATAAAAACTGCATTTATAAAAGAAATATACAAGAAAATTTTGTAAATTTCGAAATATTATGCGATCGTACTATCGGCTTAGTCTTTTTTGAATGTTTGTAAATATAAGATATCTTATTATATTAGGTTTATGATTAATTTCCATATTCTTATGATATATATGATATACATATTATATAGATTTGTATATATTTTATTATATTTAGATTTATTTTTGTATAGACAAAAATGTCTATACATGTCTATACAAAAATTAAAAACACAATTGAAAAAACATTTTTTTGTCTATAAATGTATAATTATAAATATTTTATATGTTGTTGTATATATGATTATATATACAACATATATATAATTATACATATATATGTTGTATATATAATTATAAAAAAAATATACAATACATTGTAAGCAATCCTCATAAATGTAAATTATTATTATTATTATTTAATGAATTTTAAATAACTGTAAATATAAAATGCAATCATTTAATAGTATAATGATAATATATATAAGATAATAATTAATTACACTATTTTTTTATTTTCAGAAAATGGTTTCATCTAATCAACCGGTAAGAACAATGCTAATAGTAAATTGTCTTCCATTTTGTATTATTTAATGACCTCATTGTTTATTTTTCATGTATAATATTACTTTTTTCAAAAAAATGATTAATATAAATTGAATGGCACAATTTATTTATAGGTACGTAAAGTATTGTGTTTTTGTAATTTTTTTTATATATTTTATTAAAATCTTTTATAATTTATTGTTTATAATTATAATATATAAATTTTAATATAAGCTCAGTAATATTACATTATTATTATATCATATGATTTTTGTAACAATAGCAAAAATTTTGAGCAAGATAAAATCTCAAACAGACACCATACTTTCTGCATACAGGGGTATGGTCGATTTTAGAGGTACAATATAAACGTAACGTTTTCTTTAATAATTGGTATTTATAAATGCATGTATTATTAGTAAATAAAGAATTATGTCAATAAGTATTATTAATTGTATATTTCAATTTTACAGAGAAAGACAAAAATATTTGTGGGTCGGTTACCAGAAAATTGTCGCAACGATGAGTTGCGACAATTATTTTTACGATTTGGTGAGGTAACGGAATGCGATGTCATGAATCGGTATGGGTTTGTCCACATGGCACGTGAGGAAGATGCAGCTGCAGCAATCAAAGCTCTTCACAATTCCAACTTCAAAGGGGCAACAATCAACGTGGAACAATCTACGGGCAAATCACGTGGCGGAGGAGGAGGACGCAGGGATGGAGACAGAAGAGGTGGACCAGTGAGAGGTGGTAGGGGAGGACGAGACGGTGGTAGAGACGCTCGTCCTGGACCATACAATGATAGAAGAGGTTAGTAAATTTATTTTTATAATATTCTATTTTTATATAATTATTTTCTCATTGTAATTATAATTTTTAATATTATTCATTATAAGAAATTGTTCAATATTTAAAAATATAATACATTTGAAAATTTATATAAAAAAATATTAATATACTTCTTACTATACTTTATATCAAATTTAATAATTTTCTTAAATATTATTAATATATACGAAATTAATATAACAATATTAATTTATAATATAGATAGATTTAATAGATTTAATAGATATAATATAGATAGATTTAATAATATAATACAATGAGAAAATAATAAATTATAAAATAAATATATTTTTATAATACAGACTAAAATACAAATTGGATATCTCGGCATGCTTTACAGTTCTTCCGATCCAACTCGTTGGTTACGATGGATCTGCTGCAGGTGGCGTCGCAACGGGGTACACCGATTACAATCGTGGCGCTGGAGACTTTAGTGGACGTGGAGCAGACTTCGGGACTGGATACACTGATCGTGGAGCATATGGTCAAAATGTGGGAAGCGCGGCAATGGGTTACACTTCTACGGCACCTGGAATGGGAGGAGGATATGGACCAGCAACTGGAGCTGTTGGAGGATATGGACCAACTGGAACAGCTGATTATGGTCGAACCGACTACAGTCGCGCTGCAGATTTTGGAGCTAGAACGGATTATGGTAATGGTGATTAAAATATTTTAATTATTTTATTTGTAAAGATATTTTTGAATATTAAATATTTAACAAATAAGTTTATTCAAGTAATAATAAAAAATATTAATATAATAACATAAAATGTTATTTGTAGTAGTTGGAGGTGGAATGACTGGGGATTTTAATCGAGGTGCACCAGGTCCAATGGATTATGGACGTACAGATAATTTTGGTGCAAATCGTACAGTTGATTATACAGCTAGAAATGATTATGATCGAGCTGCAACTGGGCCTATGAGAAATGGTGGTGGTGCAGTTGCCACTACTGGGTATGGAACGGGTTACACAGATGTAGGATATGATGAAAGTCATTGGTAATATATTTTATTTATCACATTAGATTTTATTTTATTGCATTTTTACTAATTTAATAAATTTAAAAAAAATAATAAGTTAAATATTAAAGATTCGAATTAACAATTAGTAATAACTTTTCTTTTTATAAGATTCTATATGTGTATTCTATATGTGTAAAAAACACATTTTTAATATTTGAGAAGTTTATATAAATCTTGATAATTTAAAAAAATATTTATAATAGAAGAATAAGTATTTTACAGCATTTTAAAAACATTTTAACGATAGTATAACGATTATGAATTGAAACTTTATTTTTATTCTAACCTGTAATGCTTATACTAATTTAAAATTTGAAAATATAGTATATCTTGAATTAATTATGCTTGAGAAAATTTTGGTGCATTATGCAGGATAGAGTGAAAATAGGTTAATATATTCCAATTATGTATGACAGGGGTTATCCGGGCGGGCCTGGGGATATGATGGGTGGGCCCGGGGGGGTAAGTCAGGGAGCTTCAATGGCCTATGACAGGAGGGATGGTCCCCCTGTTAATGATATGCCTCCATTTAACAGGCCAATGAGTACTGGACCCAGCTACAGCACTGGGGCACCTAGTTATAGTACTGGTCCTGGACCACAAGCAGACATGTTTAGTAGAAGACCTGGCAGTGCTGTCCCCAGTGGTGGATATCCACCTGTTGGTGGAGGGTAAGTAAAAAAATTATTCATTTTATTATCTAAAATAAATAATTTTATATATTAAATGATATTAGTGATTTTTATTTTATAAAATCAAACATGTTATTATGAAATTGCTTATTTTTTTTATTCATATTCTTTATTTATAATTTCATGATAAAATATATGATTATATAAAATATAATTTCATGATAAATATATTATTTATAATTTCATATAAAATATTATATAAAATCATGATGTACATAATTATACATAATATTTCATAAAGTTAATATGAAACTTCAGGAATATATAGTAATATTTATTAAAGTAATTAAAAAATCATAATAAATATGAATCCAAATATCAATAATTTATACTTTTTATTTATATTTATATTTTTTCTAAGAAGTTATATTTTCAATTATATATATATAACAAAGTAAAATATTTTATTGCGTATTCATATGAAATTCAAAGGTCATTGCTTATTTAATAGTGTCGATATTCGTTCGCATCGATTAAATATTTTGCCGATTAAAATAAATTTTCTATTATTGACACGATAACAATAAGATTTCATTTTATTACGAAATATATATAATATTTATATATATAAATATATAAATTTTGTTCATATATAGATAACTGAAAATTTTGTTTGCCATTATTGTGCTGTTAAATGAAGAATATATTGATATCTTAATGTTGTTCAAACATTGTATTGTTAGATAAGTAATGACCTTAAAGGTCAAAAAAAAAAATACAAATACAATACATACTATGTTTCATTCAGCAACACTACAGAAGAATTTATATATTCTTTTTCATTTTAATATTAAAAAAATATTCATCAATATGTTGTTTATTTATTTATTTAACACTTACATTATTTAATAATAATTCAATGATTCAATGATTCTAACCAATGATATCCTTCTTCTATTAGATTAACTATATACTAATAGACTATTAGACTATTAGACTAGGCTACATACTGTACATATACTTTAAAATATGAAATATATACGTATGTATGTTTTGTATGGCGCGCGTGTATCCTTTATTTTCTTATATCATCCTTCTTCGTATACAAATTCATCTTTCTATAAATTTCTTGAAATTTATAGAAAGAAAAAATCTATTATTATTTTTCTATTTGAATTATTATATTTTTAATTATGTTTAGCAATAAAATCGAATTAAATTTTATAAACAAAAAATCAGATAAATTTTTATTTTCTCCAAAAAAAATTTTATTTGATGATTCGCAATGCTTTTTACAAAAATATTCCAATTATTATTTCAAGTTATTACTATATAATTAGAATATATAATTATATCATGAATTTGATTATCAGTTAAAATTATTTATGTAAAAAAATATAAATTTAAATTTTAATAAAAATGATTTGTTTATATTTTGCTTAAAAATATGTTGGAATTTAATATTAAGAAAACTAGCATTTTTTGAAGTTGCAAATTTTTAATCACCTGTTTTTGTTTTTGTTTTTTTTTTGTTCGAAAAAAACATATTATATATTAATATTTGTTGTTAATTATTACAATAAATTCAATTTTTATTTCAGCTATACCGAAGGGTACGACAGACCAGATGCATATGGTCCTCCACGTGGTGGCGGACGGTAAGTCATATTATTATTATTATTATTATTTAATATTTACACTTATTACACCAATGCGTTTTTCAAAGTGACATTGATCACACAGCGTTAAAGAGCGATATTAACTTGCGAGTAATCGTTCGTTGTTTAGGCGACCACGCTCTTTTTGCGCAACGTTATTCAGTTTGATTGAACACTGATATCAGTGTATTTATATTTTGCGGATCGAGATAGGCTAAACATTTTCTGTAAAAGTATAAGATGTGACACTCAGCGCGAAATCAATATTTCTTGATCATAGAGAGCGTATATTTGTGCATACAATGGTACAAGATTAATTTTTATTGTTGATAAAATATGAATAAATTATTCTGCGACTTTTCTAGTGTTGAGTGTAAAAGAGAACAGAGGTAGTTGTACATTTGAATATTTATTAATTATTACTCATATATTAATTGATTTTTTAATGCAATAATATTAAAATAATAGTATATTTTATTTATAGATGTATTATAGATGAATATGTTTCTTAATATAATATTTTTGTGACGAAATACAAATCTTTACAATTTATTTATATATTAATATTTATATATATATTAATATTATTATATATTAAATTCAAGAAACAGACTTTAGATTTTTTTAGAATTCAGTTTAAGTATTTTAATATACGTACATACATACAAAAATTATTAAGTTACCAAAATAAAGTATGAGATACATATATGAAAATTAAAAAATTATTGTATAAATATATTATAATCGGAGAAATAAGGAAAATTTTGTCTTTGAATTATCTTATCAAAGAAAGTAATTACGTCAAGTTTCAATCTTTTATTTCGATTCTATTGTAAGGAAAGAAAAAAAAAGAAAAAAAAATTGGTTGTCATTGACATCAATTGAATATCTATATTTTTAAATAACTTTAATAGTTTGAAATTTTGTTTGTTAAATAATGATATTTTATTCAATTACTAGTATTTTTTTTTTAACACAATTATAATAAATTCGTTGAAATTTATAAAACTTATAAACTTATAAAATATAAAATTTATGTACTTTCGCTATGAAAAAATGAATAAGATTTTTAAAACATTAAATTATTTTTAATTAGAAATTATGATGATATTATAATGTTATTATATAAATTCAAACATTAAATAAGTTAAATTCAAACATTATGTAAAAAAAGAATATTATTAGATTAGTATTTGTGAAAAAAAAAAATCACTTTTGCCTAATGCTACCTCTTTTCTTTTATGTACTCTGCGGTAAAAGTCCGCGAATTCAGCGTGTACGTGATTCAAGATATTTGCGATTAATCGAACAACTCGGTTCGGTAGATGGTGAAAAATAAACCGTAATGCGTTACGACACACTGCGCCGTTAAACGATATGAATTTCGAAGATGCACGCCATCGATCTCTCTGTGCCTCGAAACCGCATCGGCCTTAGCTTTTTTAAAAAAAATATTCTACGTCGAAAAATGCGTATTACGTTTCGAGATATAAACGAGAGATGAAGACAAAGTCCGGGTTGATTGTTTATAAAAATTGCGTTGCGTTATTTTGCTATTGCGCCTCTTGTCAATATAATTGCAAGTGATCAAGCAGCTAGCAGAACAAATTTTCAACGATCATTCAGAAATTCTTTTTTCGAATGTTCAAACTTCTGAAATATTCATGAACGTTTAAACGAACGTCATCGATAATTTTTTGCGACAATAGCGAGAAATACTTGAATGTGCCGGTAAAAGTTCTAAACATGTGACAACTTATCAGACCTGTGCATATATATCAGAATATATTGCTTATATATAATATATTGTATATGTTGTTTTCAATTCAGATATAATGATTATATTATTTATATTTGTATTTTAAGTTGCTTAACAATTATCGTATAACGAAATTAATGGAATATTTTATCTTCATCAAAGAATTTCAAATTATTTAAATGTATATTAGAAAATATTTTTTTTATATCTTTTTTTTATATATGCATTTTATTATTTTAAATTTTATATGATAGTAAAACATTATATATATTTTATTTAAAAAAAAATAATATTAAAAAGTTTCTTAATACTTAACGATAGATTGTACATATATTAATTAAATTTTCAAATATGAATTATAATTTTTATGCAATTTATATGCAATTATTTAAAATCATCAATATCGAAATATCTTTTCTCTCTTTCTATATATATATATATTATCTTTATTTGCATTGATAGTATTATGAATGAAATAATAAATAAAATGAAATGAATGAAATAATAATAAAAAAAAATAATTTATTAAATTAATTACGTAGAAGAAGTACAAAATAGCTGATAGTTCAAAAAATGTTTAGCCAGGTCTGTAAGTTGTATGTTATTCGGCAAATGTGTGTTACATGCGTTGCGAGGAGATTCAATCGTTAAAATCAGGTATATCCATACGTGGTGTGATATTAAAAGGCGACAGTGTGAACGCGACACTGCCGTTATGTAAGAAAGAGAATGAAAAGTAAAACGTATTCGTGCATATCAGTGTTACATCTTATACTTTCCAGCTATTGTTGCGCCGAAAGGCGATGAAGAAATTAATACTGCGATTTTTCATTTTTTGACCTTTTAGCTTCCCAGGTCCGGCAGACGCGATGCCACCGAGGTACTAAAAGCGTACACTAAAGCGAATACTAAGCGCATGCGAAAGGCTCCCTTAAAAAAAAATGCCTCTTTAGTGGTGGTCATTCGCTTACGGAATCGAAAACCTAGGAACTGCCCTGCGTCCGACATACAGAGTCCATACCATTACATACGATACTATGTATAATGATATAGATATGATATAACGATATAGATACGATCTAACGTTTAACACACTAACTTAAGGTACGGTAAGAATAAGGAGCACATCAATCAGCAACATAATGAATGAATTAATGAAATAAGCAACTACGATTATTTGAAGATAAGAAAGAAGAAGATTGAATTCCTGACTGAAGTGAACTTTGTAATGTGGAATCAAGAAATTTTATATATCGTTCATTTTTTCCAGCAGATAGTGGATATATATTCTTTTTGTGCGATTTGTGTTCGTAGTTTTTTTTCCTGATATTTCCAATGTTTTTCTCTCTCTATCTCTATCTTTCTCTCTCTTTTTCTCTCTCTCATAGTGGTACAACCCAATCCTAAAGGCATGGGTTGAATTATCTTTTATCTATCTTAAGTCACATGATTATTACACATTAGTAGGATAGATGATTTCGTTATAAGTTTGTAATATTTAGCATCAGCAAGATGGTGACTTAGGCTATTAAACAAAAAAATGCTGTATAATCTTTTTTTTTTTTACACGTAAGAACTTGGATAATGTTTTAAATGTTCATTAATAAAGCAAAAAAACGTGTTTGCAGAATTTATCAATGTACCTCAACGGAATGAAAAATAAAATTCAAACGTATATGTCTTTAAGTCTCTTAGCTTGAATGTTTACAAGTACATTTTCCTCGTTACAATTTCTTTATAAATACCTTATTATTCGCAAAATCTCTATGTCAAATTCTCTTATACACACTAAATAATTAATCAAGATTTATTTTTAACTTTCGATCATTCATCATATTTTTATTTCTTTTTTAAATAAATTTTTTTTCCAAAATTTCTTCTATTCTTTATTGAAATATGCGACATCGATTAATGGATACATTAAAAGGAGACCATCGAAGAAATTTATATACAAGATCAACTGAAACATGATTTATTCCTTTCTCGTTCTTCGGCAAAACAACCTAGGTATTATTAGCGCGCGTTTATACGCGATATAAACATATGATAGTTATTAGAATGACGTTTTGCATTGTAAAATTGTTCTTTCTCTCCTTCCTTTTCTTTCTTTCTTTCTTTCTTTCTTTCTTTCTTTCTTTCTCTCTCTCTCTCTTTCTCTCTTTTTTCTTTTTTCCTTTCTTTCTTTCTTTTGTCCAAACTTCAATATAGGGATATTGAATATTATTAAACAGATATATTAATGAGCATGCAATATTAAATACAAATATATTTTAAATCAAGATCAAGTGTTTATAATATTACTATTATTTTACATTACTAGTAATAAATTTCATATCATTCAATAATTAAATATGTGCAAAAATTTTATATTAAATATATAATTTCATGCATCACATACTTTTTTATTGTTAAAATTTAATGAAATTTATTTTTTGAAAAAAAATTTTTTATTATATGTGCTTATAAGTAAAAATGTCTATTATTAAATTTAATTATTTGTTATGTCTCAAATAAATAATAATATCAAAAGTGAAAATATATTAAATTTCTATGAAGATATTATAAATTTCTTGATCTCGATCATTAAAATTAAAGTAGTGATTGCAAATAAAGTAAATTGCAAAAAAATTTCATGTTATTTTTATATACAATATGGTATTTTAAGGAACTTCAAAATGTATATAAAAGGATATGTAAATTTATAAACTTATTAAACTTTTAAAAATAGAAAAACATAAGAAATGCAGAACGTCATTTAACTTTTGATGGTATCTACATGACTTGTACTTAGACAGCGTAATCATGAATTGTGCGACGAATTGCGCGTAAATACAGCGCACTCTAATCCTGGTGGCATATCAACGTCAAATTATTGAAGAGACGATATCAAGTCGCTTACCTATGCGTGTGGCCTATAGATGCGACTCTGGTGAATAATGCAAGCTTCGATTTGCGGATAACGTGCTACAAATTGCGTTTGCGCTCAAAACTGGCGGTGCTTTGAATTTAAACAGAAGGTATGTTCAACGCGTGCGCCATTTTACTCTTTGCTCGTTAAAGCAAAAAAAAAAAAGAAAAAAAAAAAAAAAAAGAAAAAAAAGTTATAATGATAATGAAAAAAAGTGAAAACAGAACGCGCTTATTGCGCGTATTGTGTCAATAATCGGTTATTGCGACGCTGAAAATTTACAATAAAAAACTACGAAAAAAAATGTTCCTGCAATCGTCGATTATAATACCGTTGCGAAGATGCTGCGATGGCGAATGCTTTTAGCATTTAATACGCGTTAATTCTAATTCCATCTGTTAGCAAATTATCGATTATTTTTTTTATTTATATCAATAATATGTTGTCATACGTGGCACGAGTCAAACTTATTTTATTCCGAACGCGCGTTTTGTCTCGAAAACTCTATATCAATAAATTTTTTATTTTTCTTATATTTCTCTATTATTAATTTTGATCAGTTTAATTAATTTTTAATTTTTTCAACATGTTTTTAAATCAATAAAAAACAAAAATATCATATGTACATACATAAAAGAAATTATTGGCTGTTGTATTCTTCATTAATTTATATATTTTCAGTAAAACATTTTATTTTAGTTAAGTTATATTTGAATTGACTCAATAATATATTATTATTTGCCACAGATTCTTAATCAATTATTAATTACTAATAAATTACAATATATAATTTTTTAAAAAATTAAAATTGAACATAGAAATTATCGCAGTGAACATTTACTATTTCATATTTATAATCAATATAACGTGGATGGAATTAGGACTAAATTAATGCGAATATAATGAAAAATATATCAAAGAATAAATATAAATAAAAAAAATTTATTTAATTTAAGACTTCATGATGATATGTATGCTCATATTTATGTGAGCTTCAAAAATGTATTATGCATCAAATAATATAATCTTTTTGATAGATTACAAGCTGGATGACGAGACACTGGATATTGAGATGAACTCAGATTGGAGGTATAAATCCTAATAATATGAAGAAGCCAATCCTGTACTCAAATCAATGGATTTATTCTCTCAAGGAAAATACTTACAACAACATTAAAACAAAAAGGATGCAAATAAATGAAGAAAAAAGAATATTATTTTGATAATACATGCTAAACATGTAAAAATGTAACATGTAATAATTAAATATATCATAGATTATTTCTTTAAAATTTATTATTTCTATAATTAATTATTATATTATTTTTAATTGAAGAAATGATTTTACTTTTTAAATATAAAAAATTAATTTTTATTTAAATTTTTTTTTTTAATTTAAATTTAACTTTTTAATTTAGAGAAATAATTTATTTAAGATTATTAAAACAAAATGTTTTTAAACAGATATGATAAAATATTTCTAATAAGAAAAATAATTCTTAAAAATAATTATTTATTACATAAAAATAGCATTCGAACTTAATAAAATATATAAATTTTATCTAATATAATCATATTTGATTAATGTATTTATTATTATGTATGCTTTGCATATAATTGAATAAATAAAGTTTAAATAGAAAGAAAGTTTTTTTAGATTGTTCATATTTATAAATTTTATATATTAACAAATAATATTTTTATATTTAATATTTAATACATAATTTATTTCATTAAAAAATATATATATTTTACAAAAAATATTCGTTAAATGAAATTGAGATTAAAATAAAGCTAAGGTTAATATATATTAATATATTCGTGGAATATTCTTGGAGATTTTAGAAATTAGAACAAACAAAAAAATTGCTATATAAAAATATCAATTGAGAAATGATTTTACTTTCTTATTATTTATATATTATTAAATTAAATTATTAGCAATTTAAATCGTGATTGAGATAGAAGAAGATAATATGTCAGAAATAGAATTGTTTTATTCTATTTTTATCTGATTTCGATAATTAAATTTTTTTGATCATAATTAATAGATAAATAATTTAAAAGATAAGCAATCAATCGGTATTTTTAAATTCAATTTTTATATTTGTTTTAGTCTTTAAAATCAATTCTCTTAAAATGTTCTACGAATATATTAATATAGTGTATACATACAAAGTGGGATTAGATGATAGAATTAAAATAAAAAAATAAGTCTTAAATAATACTGAAGATTTATTAGAAATTAGAAGATTTTTTTTTCTTTATTTTCTAAAAAGAATAACATGCTTATTAACATAATCTTATTTATGCAACAGAATCTTTCAAATTTTCAATAAATTATTATATTTTTATACATTTTTATTAAACTATGTCATCTAACTAAATATTTATCTAAATGTTTTTAATATTTATTCAACTACTAATCATATTTATAATTATAAAATATTCATATATCCATTTATTTATATAACTTTTAAATTCTTTTCTTAATACTTAGTGAAATTTTTCCAAAATAAAATTATATTATTCATAGATAATAATTATTACAGTAATTAATTTTTTTTAATTTATTTATATTAAAAATATATAATATGTTACATATTAATTATATTATTTATTGTATTATAAAGAAACTCTACAATAAAATTAGTAATAAAAATATTTATTTTTGCAAGAGAAATATAAAAGTAAAAAATTACATTATTATATAGGTATTAATATGATTATAAGTTATATTTCATTACATTAATAAGAATAGATATGAAAAAAAAATAAAAAATAACTAATTGGTTTTTATATATATATATTTTTTATATATAGTATATATGATCTTAATTTTCATATTTGTACTTTACGAATATTCATTGTTTATTATATAATGTTTCTTTATAAAAAATATAGTAATTTTTAATAAATTAATAAAAGACATTTTTGTAAAGATTCTGTAAATTTATAAAAATTATAATTATTATATATAAAAATTAAATATTAATATAAATGTTATTTTTATATTGTAAACAATATAAAATTATTTATTATTAAAGTTCAGGTTTAGGTCCAATCCCACCTGCATGTTTGTATACTAACGATGCCACATCAATAATTAATTTATTAAGGTCGTATAAATTTTCACATTCTGCATATATTCGTACTACATCTTCAGTTCCTGATGGTCTAAAAATAAAAATTTTTATAATTAATAAAATATGAATTCTTTGTCGTAATTATTATTATTTGAATATTTGAATTTTTTACATAAGATCATTGAAACTTATATATAAAAGATATTGAAAGTTTAATTATAATAATCATATAAAAATAAAAAATTAATAATAAATATTTACTAAGAATAATATTTATCATGAATAATAATATATTTAAATCAGTTTTATTAAAAATTTTTTTGAATATTGTTTATATGATTATAATAAAAATTATATATATTACCTTACAAAAGATCGTCCTCTTTTATATCGTAATATTACTTTATCAATTTCGTCTTGTAATCCTTCAGGTGTTAAACATTGCCTTCCTGCATTAGTTGTTGTTATAACATTTTTATCATTAACTTTTATCATTAATTGTTTATTTGGTAAATCTGTATACATTTTTTCCCATTCCATAATATTCCAACCTTTTGCATGCAAAATTGTTTCTACTAATAACAAATCACTAAGAGCATCTCCAACTGTCTGATTAATTATATCTATTATATTTTCTAATTTAGAGGCAGCTGCTTTCTCTTTTATAGACCGTCTATAATATATACATATATATTTTTTTAATGTAAAAGGAAAAATTTAATAGTACTTACTTTGCATTTATAATAGCTTTCTTAATTGCTTCAATAGTAGTTTCTTTAAAAAGTACTGTCCCATGACCATTTGCTTCAAAATATATTCCTATATCAAATTCTAATGCTTTATTGTGTAGATACTTAATACCAGTTGGTACACAAGAAACTGGAATTTGCTAAACAAAAAATTGTAAAAATAAATATAAATTTAATATTATATATAACAATAATAAATTTATATTTATATTATGTAAAAAATATTAATTATTATAAAATTTTAAAATAATTTTAAAATAAATGATAAAACATGAAATATACACACCAATACATTTGAAATGTAATCAGTAGAAGCACCATTCGCATATGCTGTTTGTACTAAGCCAATTTGAAATGATAAATGACTTTCTTGCAAAAGTTCTTTAAGATATGTGGCAATAAGTGTTGCTATTCGATCACCATCCAAAAGATGAAATTTATCATTTTTATCCAGATAAAAATAAATTATTCTGTCTGCATCACCATCTATAGATACACATCTAACATTTGGTTTAATAGGAATATTTACCGGTGGTGCTTGATGCACTTTGACATAATCAGCTCCACACTACAATAAATTATTTAAATAACTTATTATAATATCTAATTTCAATGAATGTATTATAAAAATAAGATATACCATATAATTTAATTTTCCATTTCCATCATTATACATATTAATTGCAATTGTTTTTCCTAGATAATTTTGAAATTCTTTTGTAGCAATAGCTCCAACACCATTAGCAGCATCTAACAATAATTCTGCGATATATTCCCCATTATTAATTTTATCTTTTCTTATATGTTTAAATGCTTCTGATAATTTTACATAGTAACCATGTAATGTAGGCATACCATAACTACCATCTGTATTTGTACATACAACTAGATAATGCAATTGAGGAGTTGTAACTATACCAAAATCTTTTACAATTCCATTTAAAGCTTGAATTCCTGTAATAGCAGCATTTAATAATGCTGGACTACTTTTTCTAGTATCTCTACCAGTTATTACAGTTGCATTTATAGACATATTAATATTTTGTTCTTTTATAATATGCTTTATCATAGAAACTAAATTTAAATCTTCTGTATTAACTAAGTTAGTAGCTATATGTTCCCAAGTTGCTTCTAACATTTCACCAGCTGGATCTATAAGTTTTACACCATTATCACATTCAAGATTATGACTTGCCGTAATCATTAAACCAATTGCAGCTATAAAAAATTAAATATCTTTAAATAATGCTAAAAGTAAAATAAATAATAAAAAATATAAAACAATAAAAGTATTTTATAATATCATGTAGCATAAAAATAGTTGATATAATAGTTGATATAAAATTTTATATTTAAACTTACCATTTTTAACTTTAGATCTTAATACTGCTAATAATCCCATTCTATATAAAACATGTCCTAGAATATCTGCCCTAATAAAAAAATTAAAAATATGTACATAATTTAATAATAAATTTAAAAATGAATGAATGTGAATTTAATTTAAATGTAAATTATTATTATTGTTAATTTATATTACTGTTAAAAAATTAAAATTGTTATTTTATTGATATAAAAATAAAATAATTACTTTGTTCTAAAACCAGCTGTTCCATATTGAATGTTATCAGTGGATTTTTTCATATAATTGACATTAACAATATTTTCTAATTGAGAAAATTCCATTGTTAATTAATTTTTATATGAAAAAATATCTATATAAAAACTTTTCTTCACGTATGTAATTCCTTTTGTTACCATATGGATTAAATACCATAAAGTGAAAGTAAAATTGCAATGCTAAAAATATTAGAGAATTTAAAAAAAGCGATTAAAATAATTTTTCAGAAATATAAAATCTATATTAATATTAATATATATTACAAAGAATTACAATAAAAAATTATTTAATATTATTTAAATATAAAACTAACCTCATTTAGTAATTTTTTCTTAATTTTTTAATAAATTTTTAATATTATTGATTTTTTTATAAAAATTTTCTCATTATATTAAATTTATATAAAATACTTATTTTTTAAACAAATTATAAATCATTCATTATATATCATTAAAACTGGAATACTATATTATCATTATTATACTTTTATCAGATTAAAGAAATTATCATTTTGATTTTATCAAAACAGATTAATAACAAAAAAGATTTAAATAAGTCAAAAAAATGAAATTAATATAAGAAAAAATAATTCAATACAAATAATTCTTTTTAATACATTTATTTTGTTATATATGATGTACAATATATAAAAATTATACATATAAAATATGTATCAAATTTTATAAAAGATTCATAAAAAGGATATTATTATATAATATAATGTACATTAAAAGTATTATCTTCAACTGAATTATGAATAAAAATTCTTAAATATAATATTAAGTTATATTATTTTTTTACATTATTTTTTTATTAGCTAAAATAATCATTCGTGAAATGAAAATAAATAAATAATATGATATTACTCAATTAACTGCATCTTTTAAAAATACTTTATCAGATAATAAATACTAAAAAAATAAATTCGATAAGTGAATTATCGATAGCATTATTTTAAATAAAATAAAATGGTTCAAATCGCATTTCTATTTATTTTTATTTATATTTTATTATATTTAAATTAAGATTAAATTAATACATACATATAATTTTATTATTCATCTTTATATTTTTATATACATTTTCACTTAAAAAATTTTTAATAAATTTTTAATCAATTTTCTAGTACATTTTTTTTCCACATTTCAAATTCCATTCTAATTGATAAAATAATTTTATTTAATAAAATAAGCAATAATAAAAGCAACGAATCAAATTTTTCTGGGATCAACGCCGGATTTACGTTTGGATCTAAAGTTTCGATTTGTTATTAGCATGATAGAATATGCAAGGTTATAGATATTATTGTGTGAGAAGAATCAAAAGCACATCTTATTATTTTAAAAATGATATATAAAAAAATCATTAATTATATAGTTTTCTATTTAAAATTTTAATATTTCTAAGTTTGCAAGAGTTTTAAGCAAGTTTTTTGTACTGATTTTAATGTAAAATTTTTTTCCATTAATTATTTATTCATAATTGATGATACACGATTATCATAGAATCTTAAGCACAAATCTCTAATAATTAAGTATCAAATAATTAATTTACTTATTTAAATCATAGTAAAATTGTAAGTAAAATTTACATATAATACTATGAGAAGTTTTTAAATGTATATAATCATATTTAAAAATAAATCTTATAGTAATGAGAAATTAATAAAAATTATTATATTGTACTATTAATTGATCCGATATAATGTATTAATACCCAAATTGACAAGAAATTATTTATTAAAGAGAATTTTGTAATAAAATTGAAAATCTTATTGAAATTCTAATTTCAAAATATGAATTTAAAAGTACCAAAATTTTTAATAGAAAATGAGAAATTAATGAATTTTCAATATTTCAACATCTTCAATGTTTTCATTATTAATTTTTATGATGCGTTAATCATTAAGAAATTAAAATTAATCGTTAAGGAATTAATTGAAGAAAGTTTTATATTAAAATTGATATGAGAAATTTATTTAAAGTTCTAAATGTAAGTTTACTGTAAATGTAAGAAGTACTGAAATTTTAAAAAACAAATAATTAATGAATTTTCCAAATATCATTTTCGAAATGGAGAAAAACTCTCTATCCTCGCACGATGTTATTTTATCTGTAACTTTAAACATTTTGTATATTTTGCTATGCTTTTAATAAGTTGAAGCTTTTAATACCCAAATTCAAATAATTTTTTTTATTATTGTCATACTTATTAATAAAATATTTTTCATTAACAATTAAAATAGAATTTAAAAAAAAAATAGATTATCTAATTTAAAACTCATTTAATTAAGAATATATGGATAAAGAAATAAATAATAAAAAATAAATAAAGAAAGACACATATGTATGTAAAACAATAAAAACAATATTTATACAAAAATCATAAATTTAATATAAAATATATAAATAATATAAAATTAAAATTTTTAAGAAATTAATGCTATTTTTAACATTAATGCTAATATATTTACAATTAAAGAGAATATAATGAGAAATTTTAAACAAATAAATAAATTATATAATAATTTAGAAAAACTTTTATATTTAAACTATTAATAATAATAAATTATAATAAGTCATAATTAAATTCATTCTTTTAATATGTTTTTCTATATTTCATCATACAATTTTTTTAATGTTTTTTAATGTTTTTTTTTAATTTTTATTATTCCAAATTTAAATCAATTAAGCTTTAATCATTTTGTATTTTTATATCAATTTCAGTTATATCTTTGTTTTGTATACAATTCCTTATTTCATGACCAATAGCTACTCCGAGTGGTGGAGGAACTGCATTTCCAATTTGTCGATGTTTATCGAGTATAGTACCATAAAAACGAAAAGAATCAGGAAATCCTTGAGACCTAGCACATTCACGCACACTTACTACTCGAGTTTGTACTGGATGTAATACACGACCCTTGAAAATGAAATAAATTATTTACTTTATATAAACTTTAATCAAAATTAATATTTATATTTTAAAAATATAAATTTATCAAAGAAAAAGATAGTAAATAGAATTAAACATCGAAAGAAACATTTAAACATGTTTTTATAATAGATAGAAATTGATTTAGATTATATAGGCTTGTTAAATATTTAAATTTAAAATAATAGTTTTATATACTTGTTTTCCCATAGGTTCAGGATTTGTAATAGTTGTACTAAAATATCCATTCCATTCTAATCTACCATATAAACCTGCCCAATGATTATGACGATTTCCTGTATGTGGTAAACACCATGGAATTAAAGTATTAAATTGTCTATCTGTAGGATCACATGATTTTCCAGTGCAACAACAACATACTCCACGATATGCTCCCACAGAACTCTTTCCAGCTTTTTTATCATCATGAGTATATTCTCTTGAATAAAAATTAAATATATAAAATGTTTTTCAACATTAAAAAAATTTTGAAAATTATGTTTTACTTACAATTTTTTACAATAAGTACCATCACTTAATCTAACAGCAATATTTGGTAAATCCCGCCAGTCAGAACCACTCGCAATTGGAATATGAGCCATTCTTGCTTCTACAAGAGGTGTCATTTCTTTACATATATGATCTCTTAATAACGGTTGATACTGTTTTCCTCTCATCTAAAAAAAAAATTTTAAATATTATATATTATAATAAAAAAGATTGCTATTCGTACAAAAAATATATTTTTTATTTTTTCTGTTAAATATTTTTATGAAATTATTACTTTTCTTTGAAAATGTGTTGTTGGTTCATTTGTATATGACATTTCTTCCTTATTCCAACCATTTTTAATTTCCGGTAAATCAAACATTGCATCCTTTACACTAATTGTTCTAAATGGTGCAGAGTCTATCCAATTACAATTTGAGCTATACTGAAATATTTAATAAATGTAACAATATAAAATATAAATGATTATCTTTACATAGATATTTTTGATATCTTTACATAGTATACCTTTTTATTATCAACTAATACGCTTAATTGGCAAGCACGTTTACTAAAAACATGTATAGGTTCCGGATATTTTGGTAGCATTTGTCCAGGTGCAGCAGCTAGAATTATCATTCTAAGTAATATGATAAAATGAAATTTAAAATATAAAATTGTTATGAATATATATATATTTGAAATAAAAATAAAAATAACCTTCGTCTTGTTTGAGGTATTCCATAATTTCCAGCTTGAAGAATACCAAATGTACATTGATAACCCATACGAATTAGACATCTTAATGTTAATTTTAAAACCATACTTCTTTTGAAAGAAACAAAATTTCGAACATTTTCCATAATAAAGAAATTGGGTCTGTAGTAATCACAATATGATAAATATGAAACAACAAGAGAATTCTTGAATAAAGAATATTGACGAGAATTGAAACGATTCATGCCACTAAAACCTTGACACGGTGGACCACCGCACAATAATTCTACTTGTCCTTTTTGTGGAAGTTTTTGACCAATTTCATTTGTTGTTTCACCCTGGAAATATATAATTAATTCACTATATTATCATTAAAAAAAGACAATATAATATTAAAATTATAAATTATATTCATCTAAAAAAAGCACAAATTATAATTATAAAATTATACTTACATTCATAACTTTTTTTAATAATACATTACAATCTTCTATAAATACTGTTGCATTAGGATTATTTAATCGATATGCATAAGCAGCAGATTCTTCTTTTTCTATAGCCCAAAGATTTTCAGTTACACCAGCTTGATGTAAACCTTCAGATAATCCTTTAAAATAATTTAATTAAAATATTTATTTTTCTTAATTTATTATATTGAAATCAATAAAAATGCAATAAATTATAGAATTTTGCAAAAAATGCAATAAATTACATACCACCACAACCAGCAAATACATCTAATGTTTTTAATTTTTTTGATATTATCTTATATTCAATAGGTCTATTAACAATTGCTCTTTTTTCACTTTCTTCTGTTTTTTTTCCTTTAAATTTTAAATTGCCTTTACTTTTACCACATTTACCAATACTAATAGCATGATATGGTGGTTCATCAAATGTTTTTTCTTGTATATTATAAGCTTCATTGAAATAAAATCGATATGGTCCTGCAGCAATCCACTCTTCAATAGATTGATTTAAATTCTCAGAATAAGCAAGATAACATTTTCCAACAACTTTAATAAATTTGATATTGCATACTATAAAATTATTATATATGTATCAAAATATCATTATGTATGATATTATAATAAAGATATTATAATACCTTCATTACTCCAATAAACCATATTTAGATCTGCTTGTTCCATTAATGTAGAACTTCTATGTGTATTTTCTGGTCTATATAACTTATTTACCGTAATATTAATGTCAGAAGGTGGAACTAACATA